CCAGGTGAAGCTTGCCTTTTGTTGCAGTCATTATTTGACCAGAATCTGACTTTTTATCTGACGAGCTTCTGTTTCTTCTGCTTGGCCTTCTGCCTCAGCAGGTCTGATGCTTCAACAGAATGGAGGTGGTGTGCTGTTATCAAAGCATCACATACCTAAACAGTAAAACTGAACCACAATGAGGCTAAAGCTTAAGGAAAATATTATGAAGCTTCATGATTCCTGATCTATTCTACTTTATTTTGATTCAGAACTCTAACAGTTATCTTAATTTATTAATGTAGAAAATAATAACCGGGGGTCAGCTCTTAAGTATTTATATCCCTTATGATTTATTATCATTTTCATACAACAAAGCTGTTTGTTTTTGGTAGAAAAAATTAGATTATCATTTCTCAAAAGACAATAAAACAAACGTTTTTTGCATTTTTTTTTTTACATTACTTCTTCTTATAATAAGGAGAAACAAAAAGTTTAAATTATTTTACCCTTTTCAAAAACCAGCATAGAATTTTTTTTAGAATTTTCATCCAACTTTTTACAGGTTCTACTGCTATTTGTCTGATTCAGAACAGATGAGATCTTTTAATTAAGCAATTCATAATGAGAAACTCTGTATATTAAAATTTACTTTAAACCTTAACCTCATATGGTTACACAAATACCTGAGCTTCATTGTGTATAAATAGCTGTTTTTAAAATATTAAGATTAGTGCTAAAAAAATGCATCGGACTAATCATTTATTGAAAAAATTGTCAACAAATTTAGTAATTGATTAGTCATTAATTGGAGTACAGACTGTAAAACATGCCTTTAGCTTACAGAGCGACCCACTTATTATACCAAAATTGCCAAAATAAAAAAATAAAAAAAATATTTAGCATTTAAGATAAACTTTTTGTCTGTCAATATGCTCTAACCAGAATTCATCAAGTGGGAAATTTTATAGTTTGAGCTGGTTCTATTCTGTAAAAAAATATTTTTCTGGTTGTTAATCGATTAAACAAAAAATAATCAACAGATTAATCGTTTACCAGGATAATCGTTACTTGCAGCCCTAATAAGATAAAGACTTGTTCTTTTTAATAAATTAAAAAGAACTTTCTGGAATTGAATTTCACATTGGAAAGCTGTATAACCTTGTAAGATCACGTGACAAATCTAAAATCTTTTGGTTGATATAGAACTAAACGGCTAATAAAGATTTCTGTAGACCTTTCTTATTATTTAAAAAGTCCTGCCTGAAATCGGAGGAGATTTAGGAATGCTGCAGCTCTCCCCTTCACTCCAAGAACACAATGTGCAACTAGGGGTTTAGGGGGGGGGGGGTTATCTCTATTTTTGGATGCATTGCGTTGCAGACGTGGACAATTCAGACTCTATTAATAAACACTGAAGCTTCATTATCTTACTGTAATTTATTGTCTTAATGTTGAGAAGGGGGGATCCAGAGAAGTGCGTCAGTGCATCGGAGGGACAGTTTATGGTAAACACAAGGTCACTTGCACTGCATCGTTCACCCTCTGCATCAAAGCACTGGGACAAGAGCCACGCTTTCGCAGGCTGCGTTAAACCAAAAGGAATTATTTGGAAACACAACAAACATGAGCGAAGATATTGTATGGGTCCGTCCAGAGATGGAAATAAAACAGCTGAGCATCACCCTAAAACTATGAAGCGGATTACTTACTAACTTTATTCAAACTTTTACCACAAAATGTCTTTACTCTGAACTGGTAAGACTCTCATCAAAAGAGAACTCTATCACTCACAGGTGGGAAGGTTGAAACATGGGATGCATGTAGAGATGAAACGGTTAATCTTTAAATAGATAATAAAATACTCTAGTTAAAAAATTATCAGTAGCTGAACAAGATTTTTTTTAAAGGAAGCCATTTGCTGAAAGAAAAATGACAAACACAGGGTAGTTATTAGGGTAGAAATGGAGAAATAATGCAAACATTTAGCATTTTAAGTGAAAAACCTTCTTATTCTGTATAAAAAGCTCCTCAAGTAGTCCCAACTTAACCTCATTCAGGTTCTGTAAGAAAAAAAGAAGAAGAAAAATCTCTCATAAAACACCATTAGGTATCCACATATTTATCACATAATTGAATAAAATGGGTAAAACATTGGTGAAATAAATAGCTAGACAGAGCCATAAATGTATGAGCATCTACTGCAACCGAATCATTTCTTCTAAACTAAAAATTAATCATGCATTTGGTAGTACAGTAAACCCTCGTTACGTTCCAAAAAGAACCCGCGATAGGTGAAACCCGTGAAGTAGAAACCTTTATTTTTTTAAAGTTATTATACAATGAAATACTCCATACAACATTGAAATCAAAGAACAAAAACTTTTTACAGGCCCAAGCATTTGTTTAATAAATAAAAGTATGGTATAAACGTTAACTACTGTACTGTAAAATAATATAGTTATCAAAAAATAAGTAATAATTTTAATCATCAATACGAACTGAAGAGTTAATATTGCGGGGATCAGCACCGCCCCGCCGTGACGGATTGGAACGGGAGAAAATGAAAAATGATTATGAAAAAAAATACAAAGTACAGTAGGACAAATAGTGACTGACGTGTACAGTAAAGTATTTCACTGCTGTTCTGACGGAGCCGCTGCATCCTGACTCAGCTCTGTGGCCCTTTTTTCTTCTAAAGCCTTTCTTCTAAAGCAGCTGTGTTTTTTGGAGAGAAGAACATAGTTATCGGTAGTTGTTGTCGCTCTTTTTTTCTTCTGGGCCAAAAGATCCTTATAAACCGACATGCCACCATTAATATATTTGACAATAAAGTTTAACAATGCATGATGCAAATCCGTGAAGCAGCGAGACTGTGAAAAGTGAACCGCGTTACAGCGAGGGTTCACTGTACAGTATTTGAATAGTCTATTTTCTTAACTCTGTCTCTTATTATGTTTTTATACACTTTTTTTTAAGGTCGACATTGTGTGACCACTTCTGCTGTAAACTTTTATTGCTGCTCTAATGCCACAATTTTCCCATTGTGGGACAAGAAGGGTATTTACTGTTTCTATTTCTATTGTAGAACCACTTATAGTTTAATTAAACATCACACATTGTGTCACAAATACATTTTTTTTGTAGTTTTTTTCCATCATTGGATTGGGGCAAAAAAATGAGTCTTTTAGGAAAAGCAAAGGAAAGCTTAAAGGACAGCTTAGCAGCATTAGATGCTAACTTGGCATGGTTTTAGACGCTCTCATGGGAAAGGAAGCACTACACTAATTTGTCAGACGCTAACAGATTCTCAGTGTGTAAAAGTAAACAGACGTTTTGTTTGTTTGAATACATTTTCCGCTCCGCTGCTCTCATGCTGCTGTGTGCAGGTTTGACTTTGAACCATCTGAACCGTCATTTCTTATGTGGAGCACCGAAACGGAGCAGAAGCCATAATTAGAGCGAAGGCTGTCACTGGGGCCTGCAGGGAGACTCGCCCAGCCTCTGTGAGAGAACGCCACTTCTCGCACACTCGGGCTTTTTGCCGGCAGAAACGACCTCTGATGACACTTTATTACAGAAAAGCCACATGGAAGTGGGACCAGTGGTTATGTGCCAGTCATAGTGGGATTTTTCTTTTTCCTCCACTTTTCCCCTTCCAGGCAGTGGACTCAGCAAATTAACTAGAGCAAGCTGAAGCTCTTTACTGTCTACTTATAACCGGCATAATGCAGGTTAGCAAGGCTGACAAAATGAAAAGGCTGTAGCTGTTCAGAAATACGAGTATTTCCAAGCACTGGTTTGAAAACGATGCATCTTGTCTATTAAGACCGATAAGATTTCCTTTCCTCTGTTTCTGCCTGCTATATATTTGGTTGGATATCTCTGGAGGCAACAACTGCTTCAACCCAACCCTACCTTCCTTTTAGAATGTATGTTATACTGAGACACTTATTTGAGACCTTAATCATTTGAAATGGTTGTCCCTCTCTGTTTGTTTTCCTAGATTTGCAGAAAGTTCCTAAAGTGTGATGACCATGTTTAGGGGGGTTACTTTTAGTTCAAGTTTCAATTGTAAATTATCTGGTTTTAAAGTGTAACTCATCCCAAAATTCTTTTTTTTTGTGCATAAGCTAAACAGACTGGGGGGATTTGGTGCTAATCTATTGTTATTGTGTAACAACCAGCCTCCCTCTAATCACTGTTCTTCAATATGTCAAATTAAGCCTCTTTTCACTTTAACTTGTCCTGACCTCAAATTTTCCTGTGTACTTCCCTCTTTGGTGGAGTTTTCCAAAGCTTCTTGATGGTGGGGTGATGTTTTACAGTTTGTTACACTTTAAGTATCCTTAAAACTTTATGGGCTTTATATATATTTTTTCCTTCTGGGAAAAAAACAGCTCTGTGGATCTCTGTCATCCTTGCAACCTGCAGGATTCTCTGATCAGCTGTCCTTAGACTCCCCCAGGAAACTACAAAAACAAATAAATCACTTAATCAACAATAGAAAAAAATTATGAAAATAATGAACTAGAGAGCCCAACTCCTAATCAAACGACTTACAAATCAAACTCACTTTTGAGGATGGTAACAGCCAGAGGTACAAAGCTGTTTTTGCTACAGTTTCAGTGTATAACCTTCATAGTTTTGGTTTTTGAAATTACTTTCTTTTTAAACCTACTCCATCTGTTTCCACATTTGCAATCCCTTTGTAGTTTTAAAAGTCAAACAGAAAATGACTCACGGTACAAAGGTGATTAAGGTGAGGCTCTCCTCAAATAAATGAGCTGTAACTCTCTGCGGAAGAAACGGCAGATTTTTTTTTTCCTGCATTCAAGCATTTGTTCTGCATGCGCCCCGCTGGACACTCTGACCCAGAGGACCCGTGTTAAGGGGCCGATCTTTTAAAGCGGCGTGAGCACAGCAGCGTGCGTTAATGATGCACTGCTCCTGTCTCATCTCCCTCCTCCCTCCTTCACAGGATGTGAAGTGGTATATGCCTGTTACATGATATGAAGCATGTTGAGCGAAGGGAGCAGGACGAGTGTTTGGTACACAGAACTGTCGCAGGGAGCAGGGCCGAATCAGCCGGTGTTGGGTGTCACGTCCCTGCTGCAGCGGAGGTTGTCAACACTTGACCTGGATCACGCTCTGCGTGCCTTCCGTGATCCGGTCCGGATTACTTTTTTTTGTTTGAGGACGGAGGAGGACGACGCGCCCTCTGTGCCAGTGTGTTTATGCCGCAGCTGGCTGCAGATGGGTCTGCACTGAGGAAGTTTGGACCTAAGGACGGCACTTGTCAGCGGTGCTCTGGGGGTCATAACCTCTTGAACCCAAGCGGCCGCCGCTTCTCTTTGGCTCCTCAGAAGCCCCCTTTACATCTCCCCCTCTGGCATGACGTGGACACGATGTCAGATTCTAGCCCCTGGACGGTGTTGTCCAACTTAAACGTGCCACATTTCTTCACCGGAGCCCGTCTGCGCCGATCCCAAAGGTACTGTTTAAAATTTTACGGTAATAACGGCTCTACTTCAGCTTGTGTCATTGTGCTAAATTTGTTAGCTGAATATAGAGATTAGTCATTAAAACAGTAATTATGTTGCAGTTTGCAGAGCAACACATTGTTGCTGTGGGTTACCTTCACTTACAAACAGTTATTTGAGCTGTTTCTCCAAGAAGAAGATGGGTGGCTCCTTCTTGCCTATTGTGTATTATTTGCTTTGTCAGTCAAATAATAATTAGATGTGGGTTGTTGTTTTATTTGGCAGTCTCCTCACACAGGATGTTTACCTTCCTGTGTACCATCCCAGTTAAACAGTGAGAAAGTGAAGAGGATATATTTGTATCTTTGTAAGTTATAGTTTGCAATCACAGATGAGAAATTGTATATTTAGTCTCTGAACTGCCTGTGAGAAATTGTTGGCCTCTATTTGAGACTGTAGACTTGCTTGCATTGTGAACCATGTGTGATGCTGTGTCAGAAAGAGTTTTCTTTTCTTTATGCATTTCTTTCTGGGATAAAAGCTGCATAGGATCCTCATTCTTCCAGCTAAGCCTCTTGATCTCAGCTAGTTGTCTGTCACTGGGACCACAGTATTGGTGAATGTCTGTATAAAGATATTTGTGTTTAATCCCCATCCTGACCTCTTTTTTTTTTTTTTTTTTCCCCAGTGCACGACGGCTTAAAATGAAATAAAGCCCATTTTTGGTATTATTATTTTTTCTGCAGAAAACGATAATCCATGTTTGTCGATGATGCACTACTGTATATTATGTATGAAATATGTCAAGTTTCTATTAATTTTAATTTGTTCATATTTTGATGTGTTTAGACATGCATTTTATAATAGGTAAAGTAAAAATGGTAAATTCTCATCAAAACAACGCTAACTGATACATTTTAAGGAAACAAAAGTGCTCCTTGGCTTTAATCTGTAGGCCATCTCTCCATTTTTAATTCTATTAATAGATGCTTAAGATGACTTTGATTCCAGGCCTGTCACTGCATCTCAGCAACTTTATTTCATCTCACAGTGGCAGCTCACCTCACATGTGACAACAGAGCTCGACTTGCAGAAGTGAAAAATATTAATCATGGCTTCTTGTTGACAATGGGGCAGGTTAAGGATGTAGGGAGTCTGAATTAAGAGCTTTGGGAATCAAACCAGTTTGATCTATTTTTTGCTGCTTCTCCCTCTTGCAGATATGAAGAAGAGTTGATGTCTAAGAAATTAATTTTGACAGATTCAGATTACTTTGTTGATGGGAGGTAAAAATAAACCGATCTGATTTCACCAGTGCCTGTCATGAAAACCCTAAGAAGATATTTTTAGTTACTTAAAGGAGAGTTTTCAGGCTATTTGGAGTGCAACCAGGATTTGATGAGTTGGAGAGTTTATACAGACAGATCTGTTCAATCAGTTTAACATGTCTTTAGAAACACTGGCCTACTTTCTCCCTATCATCCCCTCAAAGCTTCACTAAACCAACATGATTATCTCCTTCATTTGCAGAGGTACTTCTACTAAAGCTTAACCACTAAGCAGATGTAAGGAAGACAACTTTCATGCCATCACACCCTTTTTTTTAAAAGTAATCCAGTGCTTCTCAGTATCAGTAATCCGTGAGGGGATGTTTCCTATGCTGAGATATTACAAAGAGGGTGGTTAAATAAAGGCTTTGCTGGGCAGCAATGGTGTATGTATGGACGTTTGATTTTCTCCTGACCTCACAATTCCTGATCGTGAGAGGCTGATCGGCCCTTGTTACCACCTGTACACTACACGATGCACGAAGGAAAATCAGGATGAAAGTAGACTCGATCGAAAAATTCTCGTACTACTGGAAAGTCGCCCCGAAAAGGGCAATTCCAGGTTGATTGGCAGGATTGCGAAGCAACAGGAAGTCACAAGCATCACACCCTGGGACCGGAAGTTTTTGGCCGCCATATTGCGCACCTTGCCAATTGATCTTGAGCTTAAATCAGAGCTGCAGTTAATTCAGTATACGAATGATGCTACCACACCCACCATGCCTAACCATGAGGAAACTTGATCTCTTGTCCCATATATGAATTATTACCTTTCTTTACCAATATCTTTTTTTTTTGCCGCTCCTTCACAGTGGCCAGATTTCCATTGTCTGTAACCAGAGTAACCATTGGCTGCTGCTTTGATCAGTTCACTCATCATCTGAATATTTCTTGTTTTTTCTCCAATAGTGCAACCTTTACTTAACCATTTTCAGATGACTTATTAAACACTATTCATTGACCTTAGGGTGTTGTTTTGTTCTCTAACCCTGCTTTACACTCTTCTTCCTCATCCTCCCTGCGCTGTATGCTTTGTTTCTTGGTTTTCTTCTTTAGTGTTCTCTAACAAATCTCTGAAACAATCAAATATGCTGAGAATACATTACACGACAAGACGTAATAAATAAATGGCATTTTTAACCTCTTAAAATCCACCTCATTTTGGGTAATCCTTGCCTATTTTGCATACCCAAATTTAAAAGCTAATAACTTAGTAACTGTAAGCCCAAATTACACATACAATACATTATTTGAAAGCTAACACCCTCTAGTTTCCTAATATATAAATACAAATTGGGTGACTAGAACACAGAACAACCTGCATCAGTTCAAACATGACTCAAAGTTGTTGTTTTTTTATTCTCTGAAATGATAGGTCTTTTTTGAAAAGTAGTAATAAAGACATTCTTGTAATAAAGACACCGGCGACTCAATGGGTTTTAAAAGTTTAAAGCAACAAAAAAAAAAAAAAAAAAACAGGTTTTATCTTTGGGTGGATTACTACAGCGGAGTTGAATACAAATCCATTGCAAAAGAAGAAATAAATATTGAAATGTTTTTCTTCCATTTTAAATTTTAGAGTCCAACTGGTACTAAAACTTAAAGGTAAAGGGACGTCTGGTTTCAGGTTGTATATAAGCACCAAGATTATTTATTTTAAATTTCCGATTCTACAATGTTGATCAAAACAAAACCTTATTCTAAACGACTTAAGTTACCCATAACATTTTCTTAGATTTTTTGCAGTAAATAGATGGGGGAGAAAAATGTATTTCTGCTCCATTTAAAAGCATATTGCCAAGATTCTGTTGACTTTTATGATGCTTTTATTGTAGCATGAATACTTGAAACTTTTATTTTTAATTTAGAACGGTCCCACACTGTAGTTTAACCCCCATCTAAACACAATGACTGTTTTCCTCTCTAAAGTGTGATACCATCGTGGCTTTTGACATTGATGCTCTGCAGTGGTACCTGTAGGACCTGCTCTGCACCACTGTCAACAGAGACACAAGGACTGCCAGCTCATGTTTGAGCATCCTTGCAGTAGCCTCAGTGAATTAGATTGTTTTTGATCACTGCTGCAACACAGGCAGGGGGGCTGCACCAGTAACTGACTGACTGCTGTTTTTTTTTTTTTTTTTATTCCTGAGGCTTTTTCTTCAAAACAAATGATGCTTGAAATATAGTAAATGGTGCATCTGCTGGATAAATCTGATTGACTCTTTATTAAAAACATATAAATCATAACATTTAGCTCTCAGTAAAATACTAAGGAGATTTAATGTGGGATTTGTAGCATCCAGATAATTATGGTATAACATTTTAGTGAACTCTGCTGAAGATGGTTTAAGTCTCTGAGGGGTTTATGTAACAGCATGTCATTGATTTAAGTCCACGACCTTGAAGTGAATCCATGTTCTTTAGGCTTTATGTGCTTCCAATGTCAGTCTCTAATATGAAGCCATAAACTGTCATGCTAACCAGAAGCCACTCTTATAATAACTAATCCTTTATTTATTTTTTCTTTTTGAGGGTAAAAAGTGGGTTTCATTTATGAGTCATATACAGTTGATCACAGTGGCTCCTTGTGAGTCACAGTCCTGGAACAGCATGACCAGAAAACATAAAGGTATAAATGCTCTGCTCATATCAAGGATTTTTTTCCCCCGGTCGATTATAAACCAAAACATTATGTCACTTGTTTCTGTGGTGCGTGTTTTTTATTTTGACCCTGCGTACTTAGGACTGTGTCTTCCTGTAAATGGGCGTGTTGTCTGCTCTTAAGAGCATACTTTCACTTCACTCCTTACATCATAGGAATAAAATACCATGCAAAATAAATACCTTGTTCAATTTGGAAAATTCCAGGGATTGAGTTAAAGGTTACCTTGAGTATTTACCAGATTAATCTATTTTTTTCCCTTAGATGTGGTGAATTTATGTTATACTAAAATTAAAAAATATTTTTAAATTGATGTGGCCTTTTCTTTAATTTCCCCCTACGGCTTATTTCCACGTGTCATGCAGATTTTGGGAATTAAAGGTTAAAAGATGGCTTTAGATCATTTTAACTACTAAAGAACAACCTGTAGCATAAATAAATTAAATAAATCTTGCTTTGCACTTAAACAATCTGAATTATAAGATTTTGCCTTCTAATTGAGCACATTTATACCCAAAATAGGAAGAAAATATTTAGTAATGACAGTGTACGATTTTAAAATGACACACAGTCTCATTTTTTTTAGCTCCTTCAAAGGAGAAAGGACAGGAGAGCGTTCCAATTAAATTACAGATGTGTTGGTCAAAGTCATGATATGCATATAGGAAAATAGCAAAGCTAAACATAATTTTTCTTTTTCTACATTTAAAGTCCAAAAAAAAAGAGAGAAAATCAAAAAAACTTCCTTACATAAATTCACTTTTTTAGTGAGTTTCCATCTCACAATACAGATCAAGGCCTTTAACCAGGGTTGACGGTGGGATCTGTAGTTCTCTAATACGTTTTTTCACAATACTAAAACGTCATTGATAAATTACACATTCATTTTTGGCGTTTTTGTAGCTGAGAATAAAAAAACAGAACTCATGGTTTTAGATAACTATGTAGAAAAAGCTCCTAAAATTTGTTTTTGGAACTTGTAAAGTTACACAGTGTCGCTTTTTAGGGAGGGAATTTGTTGTTGCACATATTTAAACCTTTGTTGGTTTGAGTCTCGATAATGATGTGATGATGATGATGGTGGTACTTATGATTACTGCAGGGTGATTAATGAATGTGTAGGAAACTGAGCAAGCCTAAATTACATAGAAATTAGGTTTGTGACAGGAGGGGAGGATGAATCTTCTTTCCAGTCGTAATACAGTGATGTACAATTTAAGTCCTTGGATAATATTCCTAAAATTCAGCTTAGGGTTTTATTTGAAAACACAAAGCTTGATTTTTGAGAGGAGCTTTTCAGCTTTTTAAACAGCAAAAGTTAATACTTTAAGATAGCCTTATAAAACATGTCATATTTAGGGATTTTTCATGTTTTTTGCATGATCTGGTTTGGTTTCCTACCATCCAGGAGCCACATCACATCTATCCTAAACATATAATTTACTAATCATTTAACCCTGCCTCTACTATTAGGGTTCATTTAGATAATTTAATCAAACAAATAGAATATTTCCCCCTATAGCTGTGATCCAATATCGGCACCCAATTGGCCATATGCATGAGCAGCTGGTAAAAAGGTATGAAAGGGAACTTTTAGAGCCACATTTGAGTCCAGTAGAAAATAATAATCTGTAAGTGGGCGCACTGACCGCCCTGAACTCCCAATGGGTGCCTTAGGTGGTGTTACTCTAATGCTGATCCAACATTTTAAATTTGTATTTACGTTGTGTTGTTTGACAGTTATTTGTTTCCTCTTTGATTTAAAAAATAAAAAATAAATAACAAATTTGAGTTTCAAAATTAATGGTCAGAAAGGTTGTGATTTGTTAAGTTTGCCGTGTATGCCGTGTATGAGTATGCCGTGACCCCTTGACTGTCCTGCTTTTATATTTATCTGACACATCTTCAGGCTAGGTTTTAAACACTTCTTGTGGACGTCATGTTGGGGAACGGCACCTTGACTCCCAATATATAGGACTGAATAGGTGTAGAACTTTTACCAGAGCTTTAAGCCTTTTTTTGCTCATTGTTATTGCCCTGTGATGCTGCTCTATTTTGTACAATTTGCGGGTTTTACTGTCTAATATTGGCATTTGGTCGTTGCAGCTGTCGAACAAGCAACAGAAAGAGCCTGATCGGAAGCGGTCAGTCATCGGGTTTACCACGACCGCACTCTCCACTCTCTTCTCTTACAGGTGAGTTCATGCCCAACACTCGTTCATGTCAGCTAATGTGTGAGTACGTCCCGTCCACGTTGTGTTGCACATAGAGGGGGGCCGTTAATGCACTGTGTTCTCTAGCAGGAATGCTGTCTTATTGTGTAGTGCAAGAAAAAAAAAAAAAACTGGAACATGTAGCAGCCACAATGACACAGATAGCACCTGTTGGTCAGGGCTCTTTTTTCCCTAGATAACCAGGACAGGAGTACAGAGTAAATATAAGTAATAAAAAATAATGATCAGAATCATTATCAGGTGACAAGCGTTTTTGCCTCACATTTTGAGAGCATGATGCTTCAGTAGGTGTTGTTTTGTGTCTTTTCGTTTAATCACCGGTTAGGTCAGCGCTGCGGCTCAGAATTTAACGGTGCAACAAATTAAAAAGACCCTGATTGTTTTGGGTGAGGAAATGGTGGCCTGCTGGGAGGAAATGCATAGGGCCAGAGGGAGGGAGACCTCATTTACCACAGGGCGTTTTATTTCCTGCTATTGCTTAGCAAACACTGTGCTGCAACGAGGAGTGTTTAGTCTGCGTCTTGACCTGATGAAGAAGCCCAGATTTCAAGATGGATTCAGGCTCTGAAAGCCCCAGTGCTTTTAGTAACGAATGTGTTCAGCTTTGGGATGACGTAACACTGTGGCTAAGGCGTAATATTTATAACAAAGGTAAGAGAATGAGGTTTTCTGATGCTATTCTTGACTGATATTATGATGCATCTGTATTAAAAAGTTTTATCATCTTATAACCTCTGGTCACTTAATTATGTGATGGCTCCTGCTGTTAAATGTGTAATGCATCTGATCAATGTATGAGGACTGTTAAAATTCCAACTTCTTATTGCTAAGCTTACATTAGCTCTGAGTTGAGTAGCAAAAAATATGAAAAAGTGAGAAATGCATAAAGGATTTTGGTCTTGCTTTAGTCAACTTTAATTTTTAATATTCAAAAATTATAAAAACTGAGCTTTGATAAAGCACCTAATCTACTTTTTTATTCTTTTTGTTGCTCCAAATAGATCCAGTTAACTTAAACAAAGAGTGTAGCAGACAACAGGCATCTGAACTCACCCGAATGTTTGCTTGAATATATATGTTTGTGCAGTCTGTGAGATAAACATACGACTGTTGTTTAAAAAGAATCTAAATGTTTATAGGAAGAAGTACTCTAGAGTTTAAAAAAGATGGGAAAACAATGTTCACTAGCATTCAGCAAAACCACCAAGAGGGCCAAATTCCACGTCTTCATTGGTTTCAGGTATAACATCCCAGTCTGTGGCATCTGGGTACTGAATGCAAACCTTCCTAAAATAAATCTGTTTCTGGAATAAATATAATTTTAAGCATCACTGCCTTAAATAAATCCATTTAAGGTTGCTATACGTGGAAGAAATAGACTGTTTTGACAATCTATAAAAAAACGGATATCATGGTATCATCTGCATAGCATTTTATACCCGTTTTATGATCTTTGTGTTTCCCCTTGTCTTGCTTTAGCTACTTATGGTGCATTTCATGTTGCAGACTGGATTGCAGTCAACTTGAATGCTGCTGCTGTTTTACAGCTTTGAGGTTAAAAGATTACTACTTGAACTGTACAAAATAGTCAAATAATGAGCCTATTTCAGATCTATGGTATACCAACATCATTAATCGATCAGATAAACATCAGATTTCCTGTGTGCATTATTTTTTCAGCTATAGGTTTTCTCTGTTTTAAGTGCAACGTTTTTGTGAAAATACAGACAGTCAATAAAAAATAAATATCTAAAATCCAATTATCAGTTCTCCTGGCACTTTTAGGACCAAGCTACCCTGGGTATAAATGGAGCAAAATAGCGTACCTTAAGTGGCATTTCTAAAAACTTCTGAAAACCCAGAAAGTTGATGTAGAAGAGTTTTTTTTACACATAATAAAATGTAGGATTTGCACTAATGACTAAAAACAACCCTTGGGCCTCTTAATGTACTGGGAAAAAGACAATAATGTGTTGTCTCTTAAAGATTATCCAAGTTGTGTCCTTCTAACTTTTTTTCCTCCATAACCTCTGCCATCTTCGCACGGAAGTTATTTAATCATTTTTAGAGAGAATGACATTTGGAGTTTAGTGTTTTAAGCCTCAATAATTAACTACTGAGCAGTTAAATGTTGGGGAAAGGAATGCTACAAGCAATATGGTGCTGAGAGACCACTAAATGTCAGAGAATGCATCTTACTAAGGGCTGCTGGTGTCAAAAACACACACTAAGTGTGTTTTTGACACTAGTTTGACATTTCTAAGGGTGGTGAGGACTTAAGAATAAAGACAGAGGAAACATAAAGATGTAGGAAACTTTTGGAAAGGAAAACTATTGTCAACATTTTGAGACTTCTATGGTTGATGGAGGAGGAGCCTTTAATTGCTACCTGCCTTTTAAAATGATGCTGGTGAAGATTCTCAGTCATCCAGGTCATAGTCATTCCAAAAAAAAAAAAAAACACCAAACCACTGGACTTTGTTTTCCAACTCTGAAGTCGTTTTCGCTTCCCATCCAGGAAGCTTTTACCAATTCAAAATGTCTGAATTAGCATTGAGTTCCAAGCTTTATAGAGTAGCCCCACAAAGCCTTGTTTTGGCTTAGAAAACGTGCAAATCGAACTGAAAATGATAACTTTAGAAACGTTGAAAGACGGTTGGAAATCTACTTGCTCTTGATTCTCAAGGGAAAACACACAAGGCCTTTGTTTTACGATAAACAGCTGCTTTACAGCAACTGCTCTGAAACATCTTGCAGTATTTTATACCGTTGTGTGCTTGGCTATGGAGCAAAGGAAATGCAATACAATCACCGCTTGTTATTCTGGCATTAGTGATCAACAAAAGCTCATTCATAGAGGGCCCATTGTTTCGTGCATTTTCAGATTGCACAGGTACTTGTTTTGGAATAACATCAGCTCTCTATTCAAGTGTCTTTTGTAATACTTTCCCCAAGCAGGGGACTACTTTCCTCCTATATGTTTTAAACAAGACGGGCTCCGGTTTTAGAGGCTGCACCCTGAACATGTGTGGAAGTGTTTTATTTATCCCATTGCAAATGATTCATTATTGCTATTAGTGTTGCATAGTTATGGTAGCTTGTTTGCATCCAGTATATTATGCCAATTTTCTTCTCAAGCCAGGCAAAAACTGTATCATCTTTTGCCCTTTTTGGGCCGAATCTCCAGTTGGGTGAGAAGTTTTCGATCGGGCCGACTTTCAGCCCGATGATGTGTTGTGTAGTGTACAGGGGGTAACGAGGGGCGATCAGCCTCTCACGACCAACCCACGATCAGGAATCATGAGGTTGGGAGAAAATCAAACACATTTGAAATTCAGTCAGCTGTCAGTCGCAAATTGCTCATTGTGCCAAGAAGGATTCTTCTTCTTCTGCTTCCTCTCAGACGAAAACACAGAAGCATGGCGTGGTGCGGGGAAAATGGAGTTCTTTCTGTAACGTTCAAAGACCGTAGTAGCCACGTTTGCTCAGCCATGTCTTTTTTCCAAATACGTCATTGCCTTTTCTTGTTAGGGCTTTCAGCACAAAAATGGCACAAATTGCCAAGGCAGCGCGTTTCACTCTAGTGAGCTTCATATTTCATTCCCACTTGTTTGGCTTTTGAGTAGATGAGTCCGAGTAGCTCCATCTCACTGCAGAGCAGAGTCCGACGTGGTTTAAGACTTACAGTGTGAGCAGGTAGATCATATCAGAGCGTCGGGTCGCACATTGTGAGTGGTGAACTTTTAAATCCTGTGGTTTCGTCGTACAGTATGAGCTGCAGCTGCGTGCAACGATTGAGAATATGGCACAGTGTAGGCCCAGCTTTAGCCAGGACATCCTAGTTGAATAAAACAATAAACCAATGGCTTTTTTCTGGGAAAAAGATCGGTTAAATGAAGATTAAACAGTTAATAGAATAATAAACTTTATTGATTTGTCATTATCTAATATGATTTGTATTCTGGAAAAAATGCTGTGATAAAGAAATAAAAGCAAAATAGTTTTTTTTTTTTATTATAGAAATGCTTATAATATTATGACTTATTCAAACTTTGATAATTATAATAACTTAATATTCCCCACATTGTTTAAATTAGTTTTTTTGTTTTATTTTTTGCACTTAACGGTTAAACTACCATAGGCAGGAGAAGTTCTTCTGGATCAGATTTGCCTCTTCAAAAGATAAAAACGCTCCATATATATATTCATAGTTTTTATAAGATTAAGATAATTAAAATATAGATAACTAGATTGTTGCTTGATTTGCTTTTATTTAATGGCTTTTAGATATTGATCTTTTTATCTCTAATTGAATCTGGCATCCGATGATTTAGTTTTCTGGCTGCAGGTTAATTTATCTCCCTCTCTTTGTTTTTCTTCATACAGGAACGAGCCCACAAGACAGCCCGAGAAATTTCTCCCCCAGTGCCTCTGCACATTTCTCTTTTGCACGAAGGTAAATCGACTTAACAATAGATTGTGTATTTAAAATTAAACCAATGGTTGTTTTTATTTAGTCAACAAACTGCAGAATTTTCTCTGTGTAAATAGATTTGAAGGTACAATACTTATATTTATAGCATCATCATGTGTCATGTAATTTCTTGGTGTTTTTTATTGCAATCCACAGTCATTGCCACAGAGCAGACAGGTAACTTGAAGCTAGGTTTTCAATTTTTAAATAGAAAATAAGAAACATTAATGCCACATTTGTCTGGACTTCCCTCCATGATTCACCTTGTTTTTTCATTCTAACACTGCAGCTTTATGCATTCAACCATCTCCATTAATTAACTTTGTTTTTATTATTTTTATGAATTAGGTAATAGTTTTAATTTAAAAGAATTACCTAGAAGCAGACTATCCATCTTCAACTCCCTTCACCAGAAGTTTTGTCATGTTTTGATGACAAACATGGGAGCGTCTTGTTTGAGGCCAAGCATGTTGAGTTTGTGTTAGCTTAACATCCTGAGGCGTTTTTAAAAAGTCAGCAGTGTTAACAGTGCAGTCATTTATGGGTTTATGTCATGTTTTGTGATAGGACCGATGGCCGTCGCTGGTCCTTGGCCTCCCTGCCCTCCTCTGGATATGGAACCAACACACCCAGCTCAACAGTCTCTGTAAGCATCAGGAACTCGCTCTGCAGGACACCTGTGATACATGGGCCTGCAAAAGTATTTATACACATTCTCTGACTTTACCGCAACAAACTTTAATTGAATTTCTCAATAATTTTTATTTTAAATTGTGGCATGCATATCCATTCAGCACTCCACTATCAGTACTTTATATAATAAGAGATTGCAATTATAGCTGCAAGTATTTTAAGGTATGTTTTAACTAACTTTGATAATCTATTATTTCCCATGATTCTTTGTGTGATGAATAGTACTTTTATAAGTAAGACAGAGTTTTAGTTAAATTAGGTTCGGACCAAGCATAAATATACAGACTAGGTCAAAATGAGTCTGCTTTTTCATATTAGTTTTTCAAACTACCATCCAAAAACTTCGAATTACAAAAAAAAAAAAAAAAAAAAGGGGGTTAAAAAAGAAAGAGTCGTTCATTTATGCTGAATTCTTCAGTCTTACAGTTGACGCTCATGCAGACTGGAAGGTAAGAATATCTGAAAATATCTTAAACTTACTAAGGTGTCAGCTGTGCTAAATCTCTCTCACTTTTACAGCACAGTAATGCAGATTAAAAACAGGACATAAAACTTGTCAGAGATTTTCAGGCGTCTCAAACACGCGACCTAAAACCACAGCACAGCTGCTTGTTTATGTTGTGTATCACAACTCACCGAAAAAATTATTAGAGTTAATGTTGTGGAACCAAATCCAGCTCTTAACTCTTTTTATAGGTTTAATATCCACCATTTGATGCGTGCTGGATAGAACCTATTTACGTATAAAGTTTTTTTTTTTTTTCATCTTAAAGGTATAGTGGACGATGTTCTTTTTATGGGGTGGATCATCAAAATAAGTGGTCTTCCTAATTGTCAATCATTCTGGTGATATGTTCATCTAAGGCCGTCACACGTGCTGCATTTTCACTTACCGGTGGCGAGTCCGACATAGTGGAAAAATTGCAAATCTTCCTCTGGAAAGTGAGCTTGTATGAGCGACGCAAACAGCAACTTTTAAACAGAGCGTGCACGAGGAGAAATGGGGCTCTGCACGCTCTTGCACGCGTTTAATAGGCGTTCCCTCTCAGGAGCGGGTACAGGGTTGTGCATGTGAATTTTTTTTTTTTTTTTTTTTTGTGGAAAATGCAGGTCTTTTCAAAAATTCGTGAAAATCCTCCACTATACCTTTAAATGCAGAATGTAAGTATGTTTGTACAGTTTTGGGCTTATCACTGCTCTGAGATTGTAGTTCTTTTAGCTGTTTGCTTTTTTTACAGACTGTATTTAAGTCGGCTATTAGTCAATTGCTTAATTGGTCAACTATTAAATTATTTATTATTATTTATTGATTATTATTATTTGACAATTGATCATTACAATAAGTCAGATAAATTGTTTCAGCCTTAATTTAAACCCTCTCCATCATTTGATCCGTCTTAGGTGCACTCTGGCCCTCATGTTGGTCAATAAATCTTCTCTAACATTCCTCTGAGGTGTTCTTTAAAAAACTGCATTCATTTGAAAATCCACCTTCTGTAAAGCAGGTTATTCAATCATTAACTTCTAAGAGGAACTATTGCATGATATCAGAGTAAAAGTGGATAGAAAAAACTGCTGTTTTTATTTATTGTTGATGAAAAGAAATAAGAACTATTAGTTACCCTTCATGGTACATAATAAATTACTTTGTGTTGGTCAATTATGATATGATGTCAAAGACTGTCGCATTAAATCAGGGTTGATTAACTTGAAGTTTGTGGTTGAAATGTGACAGAATGTGGTCTAAATTTTATCCAAGGTTCTTTATTTGGACTTTGAGGTCTTCTATGTGGAAACAAAAGCTAAGCGATGGCTCTGCATGGCTGTACTTGCCCACAGATTATTTTAATACTGAGGTCGCAACCAATCAAAATCCACACATTAACTAAATTTACAGCAACTAAACATTAAGACTGTCTTTTATTTATAATTTTTTCTAGGAAGCATATTTTTATTTTCCTTTGTAAAAGTGAATTTCCTTTCTTTTTTGGGGATTTTTATTCATTCCTGTTAAACACTGATTTTTGGTAGGTTCTCTTTCCTTAGATGCATCTCAATTTAGTGCACCTCAAAAAAAAAAAGCTTTGTCTGAAGATGTATTGTTTGTGTATCTAAAATCAATCAGATAAAATATTAACAGACAATATAATCTAGATTGATTTCCTTTACGCTGTAGAACAGGCATCCATTACTAAAGCATTCCTTTGGAGACAATGAAAATAAGCTATTTTATGTTAAACAACACATTAATATTTAAAAAGAAGCATTGATTTGTAATATCAGCCTCATTAATTTGAAGCACTAAGCTAAGTGTTCAATAAAAGTCAGCCAGAGGCTGTCAACATGGTTAAACAGGGAGAAATGTAGGTTTCTGTTCTTAGTTTAAAAAAGTGAAGTTTAACCAACAGTTTCCGATTAAAGATGTAAAATAAATTGGAAAAGGACGCAAAATATTCTTTATTGCTTTATACTTTGAAAGCATGTGAAACAACCATTTAAAAACCACAGACACTTTCTCAGAACAAAATGTTGTACTTTTTAGAATTTCTTTTTTTCCCCCTAAAACTAAGAAAAAGTGGCAGAAATTGTACATTTTTATTATAAAAGTTTTATACTGAATTAATTACTTTTCTAGGGCATTTTAGTAATTTCCCCACTTCAAAATGCCTCTATTCTTTAAAATAATTGTAGAATCAAAATATTTTGGCAATAAAAATATATATATTTTGCAATATTTTAAAATATTTTGTTTCTTTAACAAAGCAGAAAGAAGACGTCGATTTAAATATTCAGGTTTCTTTTGAAGTTTATTGACTTGGCTTACCTTCCAAGCAGCCCTATTAGAGAGTAATTTATTCCCCCTAAATAAAATAAAAAATAATTAATGCAGACAAAAACACCACCAATCCACCTTTTTTTTCATTTCATGTTGAATATATGTTTCATTTTCAGTCATCCTGTTCATCACAGGAGAAGCTGCACCAGCTGCCCTTCCAGCCCACGCCTGATGAACTCCACTTCCTCTCCAAGCACTTCACCACTGAGAGCATCTCCGGGGATGAGTGCTGCAGGACGACGACCATGCGACCCCGCTCGCGCAGTCTCAGGTACCCCATCCTCTTCATCTTTATTTCATAGAAACCACCTATTCTTTGCACTAAAGGCATGAAACCATCCCCACTATTACAGCCCTGGAAGATCTCCTTCCTGTTACGACCACGAGATCATCATGATGAATCACGTCTACAAGGAGCGGTTTCCCAAGGTAAAGGGCCCTCCAGTAATTGTCCTTTTGCCATTGAAAATCTTCTGCATCACCATAAACATGCTTTACTTTTCCTCGCTGCAGGCCACCGCTCAGATGGAGGAAAAGATTCAGGAAATCATCCGCTGCAACTCTCCAGAGAGCGTCCTCCCTTTGGCAGACGGCGTGCTCGGCTTTGCCCACCATCAGATAATTGAGCTAGCCCGGGACTGTCTCGAAAAGAGCCGTCTTGGTCACGTCACCTCCAGCTACTTCTGCGAACTCACAGACAAGCTAGAGAAACTTGTTCAAGAGGTCAGGCTTCCGTTTGAGATGTAAAGATTTTGGAATACTGTTGATAAAATTTACTTTTTCTTCTACAAAATAATGACTAAGCTCTTATTTTATGCTGACAACAGAGGTAAATATGAAAAGATATCAGAAAGAATCTCTCCATTTCCCATATAGGACTTTCCTCTTTTTTTCCACAAGTTTATCTGATTGTTGTGATTATGCTGCATGCTTGAGGTTGCCTCATCTCTCTTCTCTTGTCTGTTGCTCTGCAGTCCACAGAGAGGTCAGAAAGTGAGGAGGTAGACTTCATCAGAGAGCTGGTAAAGAAGATCCTCATTGTGATAGCTCGACCTGCTCGGCTGCTGGAATGCCTGGTACGTTGTGCATCTCTAAACAACAAGCAACTTTTGATTGGTAATCGACGGCTTCTTGTTTTCCCGAGGAAGGAAAAATCATGGAACATTTACGTTAGTCAATTTAAAAAATGGGAATGACAGAAAACGCCATTTAAGTTAGAATACTGGAAAATGGCTGATCCAGTTAACCTACTTATATAGTGAGGAAAATAAGTATTTGAACACACTGCTATTTTGCAAGTTCTCCCACTTAGAAATCATGGAGGGGTCTGAAATTGTCATTGTAGGTGCATGTCCACTGTAAGAGACATAATCAAAAAAAAATTTAGAAATCACAATGTATGATTTTTAACTATTTATTTGTATGATAAGGTTGCAAATTAGTATTTAACCACCTGAAAATATCAATATAAATATTTGTTAGAGTAGCCTTTGTTTGCAATTACATTGGTCAAATATTATCTATAGTTTTTCACCAGGTTTGCACACACTGCAGGAGGGATTTTGGCCCACTCCTCCACACAGATCTTCTCTGGATCAGTCAGGTTTCTGGGCTGTTGCTGAGAAACAGAGTTTGAGCTCCCTCCAAAGATTCTCTATTGGGTTTAGTTCTGGAGACTGGCTAGGCCACACCCGAACCTTGATATGCTTCTTCTAGAGCCACTCCTTGGTTATCCTGGCTGTGTGCTTCGGGTCATTATCATGTTGAAAGACCCAGCCTCCACCCATCTTCAATGCTCTTAACTGAGGGAAGGACTTTGCTCCCTAAAATCTCGCAATACATGGCCCCGGTCTTCCTCCCCTTTATACGGTGCAGTCGCCCTGTCCTATGTGCAGAAAAACACCCCTTAAAGCATGATGCTACCACCCCGATGCTTCGCATTAGGGAAGGTGTTCTTGGGGTGGTTCTCATCATTCTTCTTTCTCCAAACACAGTTAGTGGAATTATGACCAAGAAGTTCTATTTTGGTTTCATCTGACCACATGACTTTCTCCCATGACTCCTCTGGACCAGCCAAATGGTCATTGGCAAACTTAAGATGGGCCTTGAATATGTGCTGGTTTAAGGAGGGGAACCTTTCAAGCCATGCATGATTTCAAACCATGATATCTTAACGTATTACCAACAGTAACCTTGTCAGTAAGTAACAGTAAGCTCTCAGAAACCTACAGCTCAGAGAAACACCATAGCCGCCATTTATTTGACTGTCGTATTTACCCGTTTACCATATGAGGCAATAGTTTTGGAGGGCACTATAAAACTGTCTTTTCCACAAGGACAATTCCTACTATCATACAACACTTCCAACCAATACATTTGGGAAATTAATATTAAGAACTTAACCTGCATGATTTTTTACAATACATGTCTCCACGTTATTTCAACCCAATTATTATCATTTAAAAGACCTTCAAATCAGGCTTTTAACTTTGTTGGAACTTGGTTATATATCTTGCTCAGTATTCTTAGGTATATCTATTCTATATAGAAAGTTAGACTGTAAAGAAAAGCCCTTTATTGTCCCGCAATAGAGACAGTTACAGTAAAAAAGCAACAGTTAAAAGGTCACACTACAGAATAAAATGAAAAAAGGTTAAAAAAATTACAGTAATGAAAAAAGGAAGTTTTAAATATAAATACTGTGCAGTCACTGAAAGAGAATAAATAATCAAAGTGTACAGCTGTGAACATTTTAACAGTTGGTGGATATGAGAACAGAGGCTGCAAAATTACAACAGCATGTTATTTAAAGTAACTAAAAAAGGAAATATGGAAAAATCAGCATGAATGTAAACACTTATTGAGCTTTTTGGGAGGTAAGTAAAGTAAAATTTTAACCAACTTAATTAGATATTAGAGAATATGGAAATCTGAGCTCAGTTTGTGCTCAGTTTTCTTATACTCTGCTGTATAAGTTTCATTCCAATGTCATCTGAAAATTTTTTTTTTTTCCAACTTCTTCATGCTCATCTTTGAAGCTTTATGCCCTATTTCCGTTTTTGTCCAGCTTTAGATTATTAGTAAAGTAGCAAAATTGCATAACCTCACCCTACAGCTTCACAGTGTCCTGAAAAGCTTCATATGGATAACTGAACTGGGTCAATGTGCTTCCAGGAATTTGACCCGGAGGAATTTTACCACCTACTGGAAGCAGCTGAAGGACACGCTAAAGAAGGCCAGGGCATCAAAACAGACATCCCTCGTTACATCATCAGCCAGCTGGGACTCACTCGAGATCCTCTAGAAGGTACAGGAAGCTTTCAGTGTTTCATCATCAGTGCTAACATAATCCAGTACAAATCAGAGCTGCTCAATTCAATTGATCTGATCTTGTTTTTATAATTCAATCCTTTTTAACACTGTTATTTCTGTCAATGCTTAAAAAAAATAAATTTGCACATCTGTTGAGTTCTTGTAGGAGGGAATGAATGGAGGAATTAGGTCTTAGAGAAACCAAAAAGCAACCAGACCGTTTCCCTTATGCCCCTCAGACTCTGCAATTTCAGAAAGCAGCAACATTCATTATGACTAATTAGAAAAGAATGGCGTCCACGCAGCACATTAGCCAGGCTCCAAGTACTTTACCCCTGAGTCTGCTTAAAACAAACTGTTCAGAGGGACAGATGTTAAATAGCAGTGGAAACGTGTTGACAGGCTCTCTGGGGAGTTCATATGGTACTTCACGTTGTTGCACACGAACAAAACGTAAACATGCAAGATGGTTTCTAATGAGCATTTGTTCCAGAGTTGCGATTTTTTTAAAGCTGGGTATTAGACGTGTGTTTGTCGCCAGATTTGATTTCCGCTCCATTTAGTCTAAATTCAAGTTCTCTTGGAGTCAGCAGCTCAAAGCTAATTAGTGAATAAAGTCTAAAGTCTGCTTTTTACGTTTCAAATGTGCTGATTTCTCAGCAATAAAGTTGCTTTTCTTTTATAGAACCACTATGCCAACATGTCTAAGGACTTTACATGAAGTTGCATTATGTTTATATACCTTAACTTACTGACAGAAGTAAAAGTCTTGTGTTTTCATTCTTTCTTTTGAATGTTAATCTGTGTTTTATTGTTCATAGAAATTGCACAGCTGACCAGTAGTGACAGTGGCATTGCAGAAACACCAGAAACTGATGACTCTGTAAGTTCTTCAAATCTGATTGAATATGTTTTCTTTACCATCTTCTGTGCAGATTTCTTTAACATTTCCTGTCTTTCTCAGTCTCAAAATCTCGGCACCGTCTTGCGGTCTCGGAGGAAACCCTGTGAACTAGACTTTGAGATGATAAAACTCATCAGCAATGGTGCCTATGGGTAAGGAAATATAACCGTGTTTTATTAGAAACAGACTAAAGTAAATTAAACATGGCTTTCTCAAATTTCTTAGTTGTTGTGTTCATTCTTTGCTTACTGTTGCGCCATTGATTTCCTGCAGAGCTGTTTATTTAGTTCGGCACAAGGAGACCATGCAGAGGTTTGCCATGAAAAAAATCAACAAGCAGAATCTGATGTTGAGGAATCAGATCCAGCAGGCCTTCGTAGAACGGGACATCCTAACCTTCGCGGAGAACCCCTTTGTTGTATCAATGTACTGCTCCTTTGAGACACGGCGGCACCTGTGCATGGTGATGGAGTATGTCGAAGGTCAGCCTCAGCAGAAAGCATTGTGCAGACGACAGAGCCATCTGTTTTTCTCTTGATTGCATGTTTATATTCATCGAATTTTGTATTTTTCTCCTCAGGAGGAGACTGTGCCACTCTTTTGAAAAACATGGGTCCCTTGCCGGTGGATATGGCCAGAATGTATTTTGCAGAAACTGTTCTTGCTTTGGAATATCTTCATAACTACGGCATTGTCCACAGGGATCTGAAACCTGACAAGTGAGAACTGATTTATTAAACTAGATGTGATCATAGATATAACTTCAGTAATTATAGTTAATCTTCCTTTAATTGTCTCTTTCATATTTAGAACATTTTGCAACTTTGTAGCTTTATTATTCCTTAACCACAACTGCTAGCAAACTGAATAGAAAATGAATTGCAAAATTATTTATTTCACTTGAACTTCTTAAAGTTCCTGACATCACAGCTGCAAACTTTTAATGTATTTTAATTTATTTGATTCATTAGCGTGAATGGGAGGGAAATGGGTGAAGGCATTTGTATTTAGCTGCTCTGAGTCAAAGAGCTTGGAGATCCACATTTCTCTGCAGTTATAGCTGCAACGACACTTCAAACAATCTCTACCACTTTAGAGATTGAAATAAATGTCCATGCTTTGAGAAGTGGCAAAATAAGTAGCTTTTAATTGAGATTTTCTGTTCATATCTATTATCAACCGTTTTCACAGAATCCAAACTGGGTTCAGGTCTAGGACTTTCCTGAGCTTACTTAAACTTGGAAGCCTCAGCCACAGACTCGAGACTTTTGAAAGAAAACTAGAAAAAGTTCATGAGTTACAGATATTTGTGCAAGCACCCATTTTTCTATTGATTTAATTTGTAATAGAGTTAAATATTAGAGGTTTGAATCAATGCGATACGATTCGATCGTGATACATGTGTCAAGATACGACTGATCCGAATAAATCCTTAGCAAAGACTATGGCTGCATCCGAATGTCTACCCTGACCCCTAGATCCCTCAGTCATAACATACAGTAGCAGCCATTCAAAATGGCCCTTCCCAGTCAAACGCCAGCCGAATGGCAGCCCACTTCCTTGCAACTCCCAGCAGAATCCCCTCCAACTTCCAGCCACTGGAGTGATGCCCTCCTTCGCCTGGGCGTGCATATTTTTTTACTCTTACTCCACCCTTTCACTGAATTGCAGGGTCTGACCAGAAGATCTTAATGTCTACTAATCATGACAGAATATTTTAGTACAAATGGAATCAGCCATGGTCCCAGTAAGGAAAGTGGGGAAAGCGAGGAGAGCTCTCCTCACAAAGCATTCCAGGATATATCTGCCTGTCCAGTTGTCACTACCCGATCCGTCCTGGAAGCACGAACCGTCCAGCACATGCGTGAACAGATATACATCCCGGTGTCCATGAATAATGTAATTATGGTACTAAAACTACATATTTCTATCCTTAACTCACTAAAGAATGTTAATACAAATCTTTAAAAAATGTTTTATGACTTTTGTGAGGTAATTATAATGCTTTTTACATTTTCTTCGTTAAACAGCTTCTCTAACGTCATCATGGGACATGCTCAGAGCAGTCAGGCAAAATATTGATTAAACCCTGTTTATCTGCATTTTAGTTGTTTCTTTCTTTAGATTATGCATTATATAGCATAATGTTAACACGAAAAGAAAACATAAAACTTAAAAGACTAGATTTATGTTTCAGTGACAATAGATAATCACTACTTTTCAAGGTGCATTGTGGAAAATTTCAAGTGTACTACTTTTTCATCCACTAGACTTTGAGACACTCATCTAAAATGGCGTATCCACTATATAGTGCCCTATTCAGTGATTGGGGCGGACATTCAGGCACAGCCTATATACCTATTTTCATAATAATATAGCTCTAAAAAACCTGATGAGATCTTGTTGAATAATGGGCTCTTTGACTTTGCGCTGCCAACTAGTGACTGGAGGTTTAAGAGTTATATAAAAGTAGGACAATGACATGGAGGTTTGCTTATAAATATTCTATATCCATCAGGCGTGTTCTTAAATGAATACCAATATCATCTATTTAAAAAAAATTTGATGTTAATATTTTTAATTGATGCAAATATCATCAAATGAAACATAGCAATTTACTTTTTTTTAATTCCAATTAAATAGAAATGTCATTATTATAACTCAAAAGTTTTGTTATGGTTTATATACCAAGTTATAATTAATCCTTCTTGTATTAAAGTATGTCAGTCATTTTTTTCATAGCTTTAACAGTTAATGTTTTCGATCTGTCCTTCTGTTCCCACAGTCTGCTTGTGACCTCAATGGGACACATCAAACTGACCGACTTCGGCCTCTCTAAAGTCGGTCTGATGAACATGACCACAAACCTGTATGAGGGACACATAGAGAAAGATGCCAGGGAGTTCTCAGATAAACAGGTGAAGGTCTACAGGTTCATTAGTGTCCTGTTTTATCGGTTAATTCACAAAACTCATCAGGATATTGATTTCTTTGTGTTTTTTTGGAAGGTATGTGGAACACCAGAGTATATCGCTCCAGAGGTGATCCTGAGACAAGGCTATGGGAAGCCGGTCGACTGGTGGGCTATGGGCATCATCCTCTATGAGTTCCTTGTGGGCTGTGTGCCTTTTTTTGGAGACACTCCAGAGGAGCTGTTCGGACAGGTCATAAGCGGTCAGTGTTTCCTTAGGGTTTTATTTTTTTTCTGGTAATATTTTGGTTTTTACTACTTTGGAAAATAAGATAATTTCTCAAAATATGATTAGTCAGTGTTTACTTTGATATAAGATAGATCAGGGAGGCTTATGTCCATCTTTTCTTAGCTACTAACATGCATCTTTTAGAAGCATCTCCAACACCTGAATCCCGTGATCGAGGTTCTGGGATCAATAATTTAAAAGCTGCAGCAAGTTTGTTAAATGGCATTATTCCAACGTTTATTTCTCCTATGAGCATCTCCTCATTTCCTGATGATGATTTTAATAGTGAAGTCTAACTGAAAAATAGGTAATTTCCACCCAAATTATTTCTCGGTATCATTTTCGCTGTTAGACTTTATGAAAGAATATAAGTGAGATAGTTGAAAAGGGAAAAACCTGAGTGTCTTATTGTCTTCCTGATGTCTAGAAGTTCACCTCCAAATTGATTTTTATTTTGTAAATCATCTCCTTTTACAACCCAAAGAGTTACGCATTGAAATTAGCATAGAAATGAACTTATCAAACTTTTTATTAAATCCTGCTTTACTATATATTTTCAAATAGATTTCCGTTTCTTGCATTTTTTTCATTTCCCTTTTGTTTTTATTGTTGCCAGAAATCCTAAACCGTTTATATCAGGAGCAGAGGTGAAAATATGATCTTTAAATCAGCAGCTTAAAAGAAAAAATGTCTCTTGCTTCTTTAGCAGCTTATATTGGTGGCTAACATGATTAGCATCACTTTAACAGCAGTATTTATGGATCTCCCTGCTCAGCCTCCAGATCGATGACTCCGAGTATTACAAAGGGTATCTAACTTTTCCAAATCCTTCCGTTAATGGACAGAGTTGAGAACTTATATAAATGAAACAGACTCTTTTATATCTGCCTCACTTTCTCCAGTTCTTTAAAACTGTATGAGCTTGTTGTAGAACAGCTTTTACCACTATTGGGTTCCCTTTAATTTAACTTTAACGCCTCAGTGATGGTGAAGGTAGCTAACTATGAGCATTTGTTGTTGCCCAGACCTGATAGCTCTTGCATATGATGCATTATTGGATTTGTAAGAAGCTTGTAACTTCCAAATGGCTGGTAACCTATCAGGACAGGTCAAACTGAAAACCCTCCATGTCTAGCCAATAAGAAATTTCTTTCTACATTTGCAGATTTGTTTTCTAAAAGTCCTGATCATTTCTGACAAAGAGTTCTTCTAAACCAGATGGAGATCTATTTAGACTAAAACCAGAAAGCCATGTAATCTTATTGTTTTCCGCATATGAACGATGCTGGCTGAGGCTGGGACCCAATTAAAGTGAAACTCTATGCGATTGATTCTGCACAGCCTGGCCTCATCCTAAACATATGCTGCATTAAGCCTCGGAGGTCTGCCTGTAGTTCTTCCAAAAACTAAAAGCTGTTTAATTTGCATAAATATATGAAATATTTAAAATTGACTTTATTTCTTATTGCTTTAATTAAAGCTGGGTTTCAGATTTGGATAATATTAGAGTAGATTAGAGACATTTTATGATGCCCTCTATCTTTTGTGTGGATGCCATTTCATGCCCAGTTGGATCAGACTAGGATTTGGAGACTAAAAGGCCAATTTATGCTTCTGACGCATAGCCTCTGCAACCGTCAAATCTGTCTCTGTGCACGACCGAGTCCCCAGCGCAGGGGTTCTGCAAAAGTCGTCACGCACCTCAAAAAAATCCTGACTACGCGTCGGACGGACGCAAACCGGCGCAGACCTCAAGTGGAAGTCTGCAGACAAAAAGCAGCTGTGATTGGTCCTTGGTATGCCTTTCCGGCTGTCTGTGTGGCTGTCCTTCTCAATTCGGTGCCGGGGCGCACCATTTTTAAAAACCGAGGAACGAGTACAATGAGCAACTACGACAAAAGGTTAATGGAGGTTTGCTCCATTAACAGAACCTTTTCCTCTTCAATCTCTAGCAACTCTAGATCCATCTCCGTGACGGTGATATCTTGGAGACGTGCCATTGTTGTTTTGGAAGATAAACCTTCCAGCCGGCGCCACCGAAGTTCTCTTGACCATCCGACGAAGTTCTCGAATAGGCTCCCCCTTCTGCTTTGTAGGGAAAATGTTTGGCGTCTCTAGAAATTCTAGACCAACATTGCAGTAGCATACCAGCAAAACTGGTTCCAGACCAAAACGACATTTGATGTGTGCATTTGCAGAAGTCTAATCTGCCCTTTACCCCTTGCTCACACTGGCTCCGGTGCGGTTACCGAGCCGACGGAGACCGCAACTCCCGCACACCCCCTCTCACACCGCCCTTTTGACTACGGTGCGGTGCGGCTCTGCGGCTCCGGCAACAGGTCCGGAGATTTAACAGAAGTTCACTTGAGTTCACGTAACTTCACGCGATAACACGGCCCAAATAAAGGATTTTTGCGAGAGCTTGTTGCGGAGGGCTCCGGCACGCCGCAAGGATAGCTTTCTTGCGGAATTTTCTGCAGTGCCGGAGTGTCTCGGTAACCGCAGCCGGACAGCTCAGCAGCCGGTGAGAGAGGTTTACGTCTTTTTAATGACTTGGAATCACTGCGGCGCCGCACCCACCGCACCGCAACGGTAAGACCGGAGTCGGTGTGAGCCTGGGGTTAGCCTAACAGCCAGTGGCCTTTAGAAGAACAGATGCCAAACAGTGACTTTGTTTTTGGCTCAGTTTGAACATTGTGATGGTGTGACATTGTTGCTCTATGGGTGGAAGCTCACAGAGCATCTTCCTAAGAACAGGAGGTGTTATCTTGTCAGCGCTGCAGTTTCCAGTGAATAGTGTTACTGTATGTTGAGCTGTTGGATAAGAGCCATCATGTGGGACGCTGAAATGAATGGCGCGCCATAACGGATTTGGTTTGCTCTCAATCAAACCACGCCAAGCCTCTGAGGGTAACTGTTAATTAAAGGGGCCTGAAACAGCCTGAATACACTCCACTGCGGCCTCTGGACGCGCATACATATTCATGACCCGTCCAGATTCGATTAAAGGGGAAGGGGGGGGCAAATGGCGCTTCGAGGCGACAATCAGCTTGACACAGACATAGCTTAAAACATCTGTTCTCTGCTTATAAGACTTTTCACAGGGAATTAAAGCATACATAAATGCAGTTAGTTTTATCCTTACATTTCATTAAGAGGCCAGCTGGGTTTGCTGGTGGTGGTACCTTCTTAAAATTAGAGTCCAACATGTAGAGGTTGATCATTTAAACAAGAGGTTTATCAGTTTCTGTTTTTAGAAAAAAAAGTGAGCTGACATGCCAGGTGGATTATCAACACTGAACCATCTGGAAACATGTTGGCACAGACACAGAGCAACAAAGCCCCACGGTTGGTAGATGGTCTGTAGATAAGGGCTGCACAGCAGCTCATTGGGCCAAACTTCAGAGCTGCGTAAACTCCTCATAGAGGACATCCCAATGGGAGGATTTTAACCTCACGGGTATAAGTTATGGCTGCACAACAGGAGAAAGAAAAAGGCTTGTGATGATGGTATCAGATGTTTAATTGGGGTTAAGGGTTTTGACCTAAAAGTCAATTTCCCAATAATAGTTTTATTTTATCATGATGTGTGTACATGAATAGATGTATGAATATAGAGATACAATCCTGATCAGAAACAGCAAGACCGGTCAACAAATGGCAAGTATTCACATTTTTCACTGTTGGATCTTAAGAAGGTTCTGAGTAAAGCTTCTAAATGCAAAAAGAAGAATAAATGGGAAGATAAAGCAGTTTATTACAAACAACCATAAACGAGCGGGGAGAACAGGTTTGTTTGAACTGTAAGCCCCGCCCCTAATAGAATAGATTTACTTTATTTATCCCAAGCTGGGAAATTGTAGTAACCTTATGTCATTGAGAAATGTTCCTCTCACTCCATGTAAAGATGATAACGTACACATCTCGTAACAAAAGTAATGTTTCAGAGGACTACAGAACCATTTTAAAGTCCAGATTCAGTCGAGGAGGTTCAGCCAAGCTCTCCACCTCGAGTTGGCCGGTCAAGATTTACATGAGCTTTGTTCCTTCTTTGGTAATTCTTGCATTTTAACTCTGTTATATACAGTGACCTCCAGAGGAGGTATCACTCTTAGTGGCTAATTGAAAACCAGATCCTCTATAGAATAAACCCCATTGGGAGAGAAAATCCTTGCTGCAAAGTTAGAAACAAACACCAAAAATGCTTGGACTCCAGCATACATGCAATAAAAGAACAATTTTTTTATATATATATACAATGACCTCTTCTGCAAAAAATATACCACGTAAAAAGCATTTTCTTAGAGATTAAATTTAATTCAGGAAGAAAGCCTTTAAACTAAATTAGTGTTCACTATTTGAAGGTTTTGCTTTGTCCCTTTAATGATAAATTCTTCAATGCAATGTGAGTCACATTCTTTCCTCCAACAGCTGGACTGAATCAACAGAAATGCAGCTTGTTTTCCACATTTTTTAACCTTAGAAGAGATTTTCTAGCCTCTGCAATCACAAAGCTATCGTGAAGCTGCAATTTGGGGAAAAATTACTTTATATTGGCACAAGCAATCAGCTAATACAGATCAAATTAAGCCTCTTTGACTGATAATCAGATCATAAATAAACGTTAACAGCTGAACTTTGTTCTTTGTTTGAGCTGGTATTAAGGCTAACTGTGTGCATATGTTTGTAGATGAGATCAACTGGCCTGATGGTGAGGATGCTCCGCCTCCCGATGCTCAGGAGCTCATCACCCTGCTGCTCAGACAGAACCCTCTAGAAAGGATGGGTGCAGGTGAGAAACTTGAACATCTAGGACCCATCTGAGGCCTACAGAGATATATCAGGTCAGGCTTTTGTCTTTTGCCATCTCAGCAGCACTGTTCATTATTATTAGCTACAGGGAAAGAAGCTGAGGTCATCCCGCAAGTGATTGCCTTATCCTGTGGCCTACTGAAGCAGCAGTTTTGATCAATTGCAATTATTTCCTTTCTTTTGTATGGATCCAATTCCATGCATGATCAGTCGCTATGAGAATCTGCAGACTTTAAGGTGACCATGACCAGGGAGGGACAAAAGCTTTTTATCCTTTTGATCCACATGGTTTGTTCTGTCTGAGGACTGCTTAGCTTAACGCCTGCTGCTGTTGCTCTAAAGGTCACAGTCGCGACATTCTCCTGCATAATTTATGGTCATTACATCAGTTTGTCCTGCAGCCACAGGGGGAAAGGGAAATGCTTCATAAGCGTTCCTTCACCTCTTGTGTTAAACTAAAGCGTCAAAGTCAATTACACAGGTTTTGTTTTGCGAGTTGTTTTTTATTTCTTCGACACTAGTCTCATAAAACATTTGTTTCTCCCAACATCAGGAGGAGCTGCTGAAGTGAAGCAGCATCAATTTTTCCACAACCTGGACTGGAATGGCCTGCTGAGACAGAAGGCCGAGTTTATTCCTCAGCTGGAGTCTGAAGACGACACAAGCTACTTTGACAGTGAGTTACCAGTTTGAGAATTTTTCTTAGTCCTTGTCTTTACTGTTTTTCATCTTAGTGTGCTAAATGTCTTTTATATTCAATTATTTCTAATGAAACATTTAGTTAATAGTTTTAATGAGCAATAAAATAAATTCAAACTGGAAGTTCTAGTTAACTAATGTCATTCAAATTAAGGGTAAAACCAAGTAACGGCCTTTAATTTAACGATTTTAACTGCCATTTTTCTTAATTACGAGGTGTTATTAACAGCTTAACTTTGTGGCTGAATGTTTTAGACTGGCTGTTAAAATCCAAGATGTTTTTACCGTCAGCAAATGTCCATAACGTGGTTTATAATTCAAGCGGAAATATTAATCATTAACCACAAGGACAATATTTGTTTCTCTATTCAACTCAAAGGAAGTAGGCTCTGTTCTTTTTAGACAACCGGTCAGCGCTGTATAAATAATCAGACTACATGACTACACAAGACATGATGGAAGCAGTAAACATAAAAGAGCTCAATTGAACTCTTCTTTGATAATTTTCATTTCATTGCTTAGCTGTTGGGATGCGTTGAGGGGATGTCCCTCAGATTAGCAGCATAGATGATATACGACAGACAGTGTGGCAATGGTTGTCTTGGGTATCAGTCAAATCAATTAAGTTTCACTTAATCCAATAGTGAACCATTACAAACGAACACAATGCATTTCTTGTGACAGCCCTGAAAAATGTTTATAAAATTGAGCAGTGATGTGAGGAACGCAATGCTTTTGTTGCCACGGCAACCGATAGCTCAGCAGCAAACACAGCTAATGTACATTAGCAACTAGGCTAGGATGATAACCAGAGATCAGGAACCATAAGATGTTAGCCATAAGCAGGTCATAAATATACCTTTTTGCTTTAAACCAAACTGCCTTTCACAAGATGGCCGACACACAGACGCATTCTAGTGGCAGCACATGTAATGAAGTGAACCCAGACTAGTAGAAACGCACATGGAGACAAGAGAAAACACACACAAGAAGATGAAAAAACACAACGGTTCTTTGGTTGGAACCGCTCACAATGCAGGAGGGCACACAGGACGGCTGCCTGGGACGGGAGATTTAAAAAATCCTCATCCATTTTATCGGAACGGGCGTATCAGTAAGCCTGTGCTGGATTTTCAGCTCAGAGGTCTTTAAAGACAGATGCAACACATGTAATATGATGTCGAGCTGGAATGTTGCGTCTCTCCTTGCATCACTGAGGTCCTGGAGAAGAGAAAAAGGGTTTTCTCTGTGAAGTTAAAGATGCTGCGATGTGCTATCAGAGGGGCAGCCTGATTTAAAATGCAGCTGTAATTTGATGCTCTGAAATGGGATTTGTAGTTCTGATCTGTGCCACGTGTTAATTATCTCATTACAAACCAAATATAAAAAAATAGCATGAACAGAATAGGAAATTTGGCAAAGGAAGGTTTGCTTTCATGTTTGCTTTTCTGCAAATCCCAAAGCAGGATTACGAAAAAAATATTTCAGAATGATGATGCTATGTTAACTACAGTCTGCTCACAGTCCAAAAAAAATTAAGAAAGCTCCCACTTTAAAGGTTTGGCCAGATTAAAACCCACAGTTGTTAAATGTTTACTTATCATGTGATCCAGTGCAACAAACTGCCTTAGTAAGTAATCCAACATGCAAAGTTTGGTATCTGAAAATATAAATCGACGTAACATATAGACACAACAATACATGATGGTGAAATATTATTTCTCTGCAACACCCTAAACAGACCATTTATATGTGAAACATGGTGCTTTGGGGTGGCTCATTTTTGCAAAGATAGGGAAACAGAGTCAGAGAAGGTACAATAGTGCTGGAAGGAAACCTGTTATTGGAAGCAGCTTCTAGAATAATGGATCTGCTTTCCTCATAGAACTTTACTATAGTAAAAAACCCACCTGGAAACATCTAAAAACATCTTATTTAGGCCCTCAAGAAATTAGAAGTCTTTTTTCCTGATTTGCTCATAATTAAAAGTATTATTTATAAAAGTATAACTTAGTTTTCCTTACTATGGATACGTTACTTAATAAAACAAAGTCCATTATCTTTACAACAAGTCCACTTTTGGTTTTTATTTTCTCACATTTTCTTAATTTCCAACCATCTTTGAAAGCTGGGAGGAAATCTGTGACGATTTCTTGCCAGAGAAATCACAGGTCTGTGGAACGAGAGCCAAAAAACTAGATATGTGAGAGAGCAACCTGAGCCGAGGCCAACCCTTGTTTTCTACTCTTTCTGTTTCTCTAACAAGCTTCTCAAAGCAAGGCTTTGTAGCTGACAGAAAAACAAACCGTGCTGATCATGGCTCCTCTGTCTCTCTCTCTGCCTCAGCTCCATCCTTGGCAGAGGAATAACCTGTAAGCAAAAAAAAATTGTAGTGGAAAAACCATTAAAATCCAAACCTCCCTCCTTTCCAGCTCGTTCTGAGAGATATCATCACCTAGAGACCGAGGAAGAGGACACAAATGATGAAGACTTCAACGTGGAGCTGCGGCAGTTCTCCTCCTGCTCTCACCGATTCTCAAAGGTGCTTCTTTAATCTTTGTCCTCGCATTGCTCTGGTCTCACGATAATATATGAGCATTTTTCTCTCTGCCAAAGACATTAGTGATGGAAATGAGCCGATATCCTCATCTGTTCCCATCTTTCTCTCATGGGACACAAATAAGGGTTTCATATGGAAATTTATGTCTGATAACCTCACTTTCACTCCTGCTTGTTTTTTTTTTTACCCCCCACCGTAATGAACGTTGATTTCAGCTTTGCATACATTTTCTGCTTTCAGATCAGATCTTTGTTTTTTGTAGTCGTGTCTGAGCTGTATACAGTACAGCGACTCAGGCTGGGAGTCGTGCTGCAATGCAGCAAGCTCCCCTCACACATCATAACATTACAGTGAATCTCAAAAAGCAGCTGGGTGCCTCTGAGGAAATGTTGAGCTTCTTTTTCCACCTTAGTGAGACGTGAGGAGTTCTGCACAACACAAGCACGGTGGTGTTATTGTAAAGGTTGAAGAAGCGCATTTTCATGCTATCCTTGATACATTTGGGCTTTTTTTAATGTTTGCAAGAAATGTTTCTGCATCCTGGCCTGCGTTTAATGACATGAAGCCATGTTTGTTTTTAGGTCTACAGCAGCTTGGATTTGTCCCGAGGGCATCTGGAGGAGAAGGGAGAGGCGGAGGAGAAGAAGAGCGAGAGTCCGCTGACAGTCGACTCTCTGAGCTGGACGCCTGACTTTAATGAAATGTAGGAGTATTTCCAACTTCACTGAAAGAGCATCACTGGGGTTTTATAAGACACATAAAACAGGCCTGACTGGGGTTTATTTTATGTCATTAAAATCTTTGATTTGTTTTATTTCTTCCAGGCCTTCGCTGTCCCACTCTACAGACACAGACAGTGCGAATCAGCTCCCTCAACCCGGTTTACTTCCCAAATTTGCCATCTCTGCTGAGAGCGAAGGAGACGACACCTCAGGCCTCAGCGACCCCAGCAAGGTGTCCTTCTCTATCGGAGAGCTGCCACAGGATGAGTCGGACGTTGTGACTCCCGGCAGCACTCACAGTGGAGCCACGCTTTCTGGTACGACTTACTGTATCAGTACAAATAAGACTTGACTTTGGCTTAAAAAAAATCTCATACACCAAAGACAGCTTTCAGTATCTTCTCAGATTTCCTTTTTAGCAGGATTTTTAGAGGCAGATAGATGAATAGCATGGAATTATTTATTTTATTTATAGGAGAAACTCAACCAATAATATTTTAAAAATGACGTTTTCGTAGCAGAAGTCTCTACCTCTGCGTTTGTCATAGAGCTGAATAATAAATGAAGTACATTATTTCTTTCTCTAGGGTTATTGGAAATAATTTTTCATCACGAAATGAATAAAAATTAGCCTCAACAATTAAAATGTATGCATATTTAAAATGTGCACGCTTTTTACTTAATTTTTATGGTAAGTTGATTTGTAGGGAGAAAAGGCTTCTTCCTATATTGGAAATAACTTTACAGGCTGGTTGTGTTTTTTTTGTTTTGTTTTTTTTTTTACATTTTCTATTAGCTTAGTTTTGATTTGGTTTGGATCAAAACTTAGTTTGCAGTTTTGATTACAGCTTTAGCACAGATCTGTGCATAAATTCCTGTCAGCTACTTGCAGACATAGACAGTCCATGATGTTCTCTAAACAAACATTAAGCAGGAAGCAACAGCAGTGTGACTGACACTGAGCCACAGTGTACTATAATGTGCTCTTAATAATAATAATAATTGAACTTTATTGATCTCACATCGGAGTAATTCACTCTCCACATTTAACATGCGTTTAACCCATCCCCTTGAGGAGCAGTGGGCTGACACTGTGTGGCGCCCAGGGAGCACAGTGGGGTTAAGGGTTTTGCTCAGGGACCCAGAGTGGAGGCTGTGGGGATCAAACCGGGTACTTGCAACCTTCTCAGAGCGCACTGATCTAACCACTAGACCAACACTCCTCCTCACTCCCCCTTAATAGGCTAAAAGCTGTGTTATCCATTAAGGTGGTGAGCGGTTCATTCAGGCTTTAGTGATAAAGGATAATAATGAGTGTTGCACCGATACCAGTATCGGGCGGGGCTTCAGCCCTAAAATGGTGGTATCGGCGAGTACCAACAAATAGGGCACCGATACCATTCTGAGAGCCAAAAGTTTATTCAACTATTGTCACCCATTCCAGGAAGGCAATAAAAAGATCTACTGGATTCACTTTGTATTAGTATTTTTCCTGCTTCACAAAGGTAGGCAGCAGCTTGACAAAGCCATGATGGCAATTATTTGACATCCAAGTAGTATGCAATTCTTTACATACACACACACACACACACACACACACACACACACACACACACACACATCAAACAGATAAATGGTATCGGTATTGGCCAATACTGCACAGCCAGGTATCGGGGGCCAAAAAATGGCATTGGCGCAACACTAATAATAATCATTTTCAAGTTTGCAGTCATTAGGGACAAAGTTTAGCAGCTTTATGTAAATGCTGCTGCTCCATGCTCTATGATTGCATCTACATCCATCAGTAAAATGATGTTTGAAATGAATTTCTTTGCACCAAAATGGCTATCACAATGAAAGCACACCAAGCTGGGTCACCAGGCAGCTCATTCAGCTGCTGTGGGTAGAGCCCAGCTTCCTTCCTCCTGTTACACTGCCCCCTGCTGGCAAACTCTTCCCCTGTAATATGTGCCTTGTTGGTTTTCTTTCTTCATTTTTTATGCATTTGGGTTTTTTTTTTTTTATATATATACACCAAGTTTTAGTTGAATATCTTGATGGGTAAAATACATTTAGAGTGGTTAGATGATGTGTTTAAAGAAACAAATATTTAAAATAAAATGGATGATTCTGAGAGGCAGAGAAAGAGATATTAAGATTTTTTGCTTTTAATTATAAAGCAAACAAACTATACATTTATTTTATATTATCTAGATCAAGTAAACTTATTTTTTTTTATCTATTGGCTGTTTTAGCACTAACCTTTCTATGCCTTTTTCTGCAATTTGTTTCCGATAATTAGGTAGCTTCTCTGAACACCTGGACCAGCTGACTCCCAGAAGCGAGGAGGTAAAGGTTCCTGGTGGTACCAGTCAGGCCTCTACAGATCAGGGGGCTCAGACCTCCTCTCTGCGACCAGAAACGGCTGCAGAGAAGACCAGACCTATGGCTAAAGTCCCCAAGTCGGTGTCAACTGGTGCCCTGTCCCTGTTAATCCCTGGAGGTAAGTCTGAAACAGTGCAGACTAATGGTCCACCATCATCTCTGTGTGAGCTCTAAGTGATAAAGTATATTACAGCAGAGAGAGCTCTATAGATTGTGCAGAAATAGCTCAGTCTGACAGCTGCTGTAAGATCCGTTTTACACAGTGACAGTGAGAAAACAGGCGAGTCCAGGAAGATAATGAACAAAATGCTTGGTTAGGCCTGGTGTAAGAAATCCTGTCTGCTGTGGGGAAAAAATCCCATTAGCCTCATCCCACCAGCTTCACAGGTCTGGTTTTAGTCTGAGTGATAAAATAAAGAAGCCTCTCAGGTGGTGATTGCTTCTTATCTTTACAGATATCTTTGGGGTGTCTCCACTTGCCAGCCCTCTTTCTCCTTACTCCCTCTCCTCGGACCCGTCCTCCAGAGACTCCTCTCCGAGCAGAGACTCCTCCCTCTGCGCCACCAACGCCCGGCAGCCCATCATCATCCACAGTTCTGGAAAGAAGTTTGGTTTCACGCTAAGGGCCATCAGAGTGTACGCTTGTGACAGTGACATGTACACAGTCTATCACATGGTCTGGGTAAGGAATCTGGGATGGATGTGTGAAGCTAGAAAACCTATAATATAATTGTTTACATGTGGACTTATGTTCTGAGATTAAATCTCATGATTATATTGATCTTTTTTGTGAATCAGAATGTAGAAGATGCTGGTCCAGCCCATAAAGCTGGGCTCAAAGCTGGAGACCTGATCACTCATGTGAATGGAGAACCTGTCCATGGACTGGTCCACACAGAGGTGGTGGAGCTCCTGCTAAAGGTAACACAACAAAGACTGTTTGTTTCTGACTTTGAAGGCACAACGCTGATTTGTGATCGAAAGACTTATCGAATATGCGTTCTTTTTAATGATTCATCAGGCCGATATAATTAAAATCAGTTTATTTATATAGCGCCAATTCACATTATCTCAAGGCACTTTACAGTTCACCAGATCATACAGCCAATTTATTCAAAGTTTCTATCTAAGGAAAACCAGTTGATTGCATCGACTCATTGACTCGAATGCAATCTCTCACACTAAGCATGCTTGTAGCGACAGTGGAGAGGAAAAACTCCCTTTTAACAGGAGGAAACCTCCAGCAGAACCAGGCTCAGTGTGGGCGTCCATCTGCTGAGGCTGACTGGGGCTCAAAGAGACAGAAGCAGAGAAACAAAAAGCAACTGTAAAAGGCGGCCCTGTCCAAGAAACACACAGCCAGGCAGACGAGCTCCGAGCCAGCAACCATGCCAGAGGACGAAGAGAGCACATCCAGCCAGTCACAGTCAGAGAAACAGGAATAGACTGAAAAACAGGTCGACATCCAGCATCTATAAACAAAGGTGTTGATGGCAGCAGCACAGCTGATATTTCTCTCCAGGGTGGAATCACAGCCACACATGAACAGATGAGACAAAGCTACTATGAGAAAAAGCAGAGAGAGCTGAATGTTGGAGATTGAACTAACAGATTCTGCAGAGTGGGAGAATAGAGCTAGAATGAAGCAAAATGATGAAATAGGGGTCCCTATGTCCTCCAGCGGTCTAAGCCTATAGCAGCATAACTATACAGATAGCTCAGGATAACCTGAGCCACTCTACCTATAAGCTTGATCAAAAAGGAAAGTTTTAAGCCTTGCCTTATAAGTAGACAGGGTGTCTGCCCCCCTAAAACTGGTTGTTGGTTCCACAGGATATACAGCACTTGATACTTTCAATTCTACAAGTGGAGCTCCACTCTTGAAATACAGGCTAAATAATCTGGGAGACCAACCTTTGTTGGCCAGGTCATGTGACCTCGAAGAATGTATCGCTTTATGGCCACAGGTCTTTATATAGTCATGGAGCTAAGACTTTTGCTCTACTGTGACTGCAGGTCATGGCTTAGGCAAGGAAAACTTTAAACCTTCTGAGGAGGCTAAAAAGAAAAAATCGTGAAAGGGAGCATAGTTTCTCATGCCCTCCGAGCTGAACAAGGATGCCTAGCACGGCCCCCAATCAAAACACACGGGAGGCTGGCCGGCTGATTGTTTGTTTACTTTTGCAACAGTGTTGCGGTGCTTGTGGCCTCTAGATGTGAAAGTTACAGATCTAGCGTCCCTAGTGGCCAAAAGTTTAAAAACATTTAGAGTAGATCAGTAGTTTCTAGTAGACTACTGCTTAGTGGATGCTTCAGTGTGACGATTAAATGTAAACAAAATACAACGAAAAGTACACCACCTCCATTTTTCTATCTTTATCTGATAAAAAAAAATTTCTATGCAAACTACTGAGACTGCATGATAGAGCTACACAAAGTCTGCTGAATATGGAAGTGGAAACAAAGGTCATGCTTTACAGAAGTTATTAACAGATAAATTTCAGAGCAAAGTATGCTTTCAGTTTGTATAAACAAGGCGACTTAAGAACAACTCTGATATTTATGACAGTCGCACACCTTGTCAGATAAATATCGTCTGTGCAAAACTAGACCAAAATGTTTTTGTTTTTTTTTACCAAACAGCCTAAGCTCAGTTATGTTGGAGGAAGAGTTTCTATTTTTTTTTTTCTTAGCATTATCAGTGACTGACTGGTCCATTCTCAAACAGGACAGAAGTTTATTCCACTACAGAGATATCCATATGTTTAAAGTGGTGAATATACATCCAGTCTCATGTTGTTGGCAGCATTTAACAGTTCTTATTTTTCATGGACGGCCCACTGAAGAACACATTCCCATGTCATGATACTGCCACCCTCATGTTTCACAGTAGAAATGGTGTTCTTAAGTAATGTGCAGTAAATGGGTTTTCCAGTTTTGTACAATTTAGGCCTTCCAGTGCACATTGGAAATTATTTGCTTCTTACAAAGATAAAAAAAAAACACTTTGATTTAGATAGTTTTGCTGCATGGATGTTTTGAGCAACCATTCCCTTTTCATTTACAGTTTTTATCTTATTTTTAGACACCCAGTAATTATCAAGTGCATCCTTGCTTTGTGCACTACTTCCTCCTTTCCAAAGCGTGTTGTAGTTGGTGATTGTGACATAAAATGTTCAAGGAGTGTAAATGCGTTTGCAATGCGCCATAGGATAAAAATGCTTTTTTAACTACTTCCAGTTATATTGCTTACAAGGTTGTATTTTTTCTATTTTGTTCTTTCAGAGTGGAAGCAAAGTGGCCATCTCTACAACTCCCTTTGAGAACACGTCAATAAAAACGGGTCCGGCCAGGAGGAACAGCTACAGAAGCAAGATGGTGAGATGTGGAAAGAAATCCAAAAAGGAGAAGACACCAGAAAGGTAAAGAAATAAATTTAAATCATTTAATATCCCCTAGGGGTGTAAATCACATCCATCATGGCGATTCGATTCAGTATCGATTTCCTGACCTAACGATTCAATTGTTTTCGATACTCAATAATACACCACGATACGATTCAATTCATTGGTTCATTTTTTTTTACACCTTATAGGCTAGACAATGTTTCAAATTTGAAATAAATCAATGAAAGCTGTAATATATGTAATATGCATGTTTTTTCTTTTAGAAACAACTGCAAAGAAGAGAAGTAGAAAAGTTGTACTCCACCTATTCCTATTAAAACCTAATTCACTGAAAAATAATAATACCCCTGCGTTATAGATCATGAAAGGCCTTGCATCAAAAAATACTGCACAAAATCAGTGTAATGAGTACAATTCAATACTTCGGCTCCAGATGTCCCCGCCCCCCCAAATTGTAGCTGACAAACTTGTTTTGTTTTTATGACCGAAATTGCGGAAAACAACTCGTGAAGTTGGACCCACTGGAAGAGCGAGGTGCACGAGAACGCTGGCACCCTTTTCCCACCTGGATCTCTGCTTTTTTTGGCCCTCATGTCCCTCCGTCGTCGGACTACATTCGCCCCCACTTCCTCATTGCCTCGGCCGTATCTATAGCACAGACCACGCTTCAATATTGGGCATAAATCAAAAATGTCTGTGTCAAGCTTACTGCAAAACACTGCTGTAAGAGTATAACCAGGAAGCACAGTAGGAGGGCAAAATAGGTTTAGCGCCAATGAGCACGGGAGGGAGAATTACGCCCTGGAGCAAATTGATAAAAATAGACCGGAAGAAAAAACAACATGAATCGATAATCTTGCGGACGTATGAATGCATCGGATCGTCGGCTGTTGGATCGATTCATCATACAAAACGATTATTATTTACACCCCTAATATCCCCCCTCATCAGGAATCTGATCTCAATAAGAGTTGTTGAATCTTTTGCTTAGGTCCTTACCTCAGTTAAATTCCAGTTATAGAAGGAGGGGATCATGACACAAATCAAAAATCTTTCTACTGTCAGAGATTCTACGTAGGTTAAAGGGTTAGTTTTGTTTTAGATGAGCAATCAGGAAGCTTCAGTTTATCCAGTGTTTGTGTTCAAGATACTTTATAACATTTCTCCCTAGTCACTTCTAAATACATAGTTTGCAAGAATATTTACCAACCATTAGGTAATAAAGGTGTAGGAACACCGTTTACAAAGTTATTGCCCTAGTCTAGGGACTCCCTAAGTGTGGTGCACTAGCTAACACTAAGGGGTGCTTGAAACTAAAAATGTAATGGCGGTCTGATAATTACACCATTAGATCATTTTCCTCACACAATTAAGAGGCCCTTTGCAAAAATCTGAAATTCAAACTGTAACTAAAGTACATAAATCAAATTGTGCCTACGGGAAAATTTTATTTAATAAGAATTATTTTTCTATGCTTCATTTTAAGATGCATTATAGAGGAAGTTATATATTTTAGTATGCAGCTAGTCATACCCACACTGCTGCTGCTGGGAAAATTTAAGTTAGACATGCTTTCTTAACTATGCTCAATCCAAGAGCTGTAATATTTATAATTGGTTAAAGTGATTCTGATAGTTGCAGCTCGGGTGTTATGCAGAGAAGCACATGTCTAAATGACGGGCGTTCTCTGCATAACACCGGCGCTCTCTCTTTCTTATTGTTACTCTATGCATTTCTACCTAAGTTCTTACATTTCTTAGAGTTTCTATTTTCTCACATTGGTTATGATTCAGATGTAGATTAAGAATCAGGCACATGACATAAACAAATTAAAAACACACACAGGTAGATTATCAGAGTCCACAAATCCACCTTTAGAGACTTTTAAGGTATTCTGTTGAGGTTTGATGCTACTGGAAATTCACAGGAACTTATGGATGGTTTGTGTAACTTCATTGCAATTTAGTTGAAATTTATTTCTAATTTTTTTTCCATGATTTGTGCAATGATGACAGGATTGTGTCATTTTAACTGCAATGTTTAAATTATGTTGTTTGGTTTTGATTTGAGTTTTGGTTATTTGAGGATCATTAAATATGCTGGCTTAATTGTGGCGGTAAAAGAAAGCTTTGTTTTGTTTAAAAAATATTTTGTTTAATAAAATTTGATGATAGTGGTGGAGGGGGGAATTGGGAGATCTGGGGTGCATCAACCCGGTTGTGACACAGAAGAGGAACGTTTGTGAAACGCTGCCTTTGTCTTTGGAGTTTTTTGGGTTTTTTTTCTCTGTTTTCTGAAACGGATCCAGATCTGATCTTCAGTCTCTAAATGAGATGCTTCCAAGTCTGCTTAGCATACTATGTGACAGCAGCTTGTTATGTGCAAACGTTTCCAAATATGTCGCTTTGCAACCAAAGGTTTATGTGTTTTTTGATGATTTTAAATAAGAGTCAAAGTTAAATCAGAAAAGTTAATCAGAAAAGTGAAGTTTTTATTGTTTTTCTCTGTTCAGCTGCCTTTCAGTCTCAGTTGACCTTCACCTTTCTGTGGTGTTACAGCTGCATGTTGTAAAATGCTGCTCAACTAAAACCTGAAATTATATTTCTCTTATTATTTCAGTAAATCTATAAACGTTACGTTTAAAGTGTTGCTATAGATCCTGGGCTGAATTTAGACTCTGCTGAAATGCTTTGATAGAAACTATTTGATCGTATCTCCATGTTTGTTCTCCTGCTGGAGGTGGAACCCTCCCTGTTCTCTCACATGATATCTAACCAGCTTCCCTTTTTCAGATGTAAGATGTAGTTTTTAAGCCATGAGTTCTTTTTTGTAGCTTTTTTTTTTTTTTACAGTTCAGTTATGCTTCACTTTGGTTTAAATAATAAAACTATTTTATTTCTCCTGAGTAGACGGATGATTTAGTGGCTGTTTAAAGGAGCATCTATGCTTTTATATCCTGGTGAAGTTTTCATTAAAACAATCTGGGCGTTTTTTGTCCCTCTGTTTTGTTTTTCAGGCGGCGCTCCCTCTTCAAACGTTTCGCCATGCAGCCTTCTCCTCTGCTTCACACCAGCCGCAGCTTCTCCTCCCTGAACCACTCTCTGTCATCCGGTGAGAGTTTGCCTGGCTCCCCCACCCACAGCCTCTCCCCTCGCTCCCCCACTGCTGCCCTCCGAACTGCACCAGATTTCAACCAGTCAGGTGGAGATTTGATCTCAGCTTTGGAAAAACAGGAAACTTTCTTAGTGTTTTACTTTCTTCCTCTTATTTACTGACATATTCTGTCTTGTTCTTGTGAATTCCAGGTGGTAACTCCTCCCAGAGCAGCTCTCCCAGCTCCAGCGCTCCAAACTCACCCGCAGGCTCAGGCCACATCCGTCCCAGCACTCTGCATGGCCTCGGCCCAAAGCTGCCGGGTCAGAGGCTCCGACAGGGACGCCGAAAGTCTGCCGGCAGTATCCCCCTCTCTCCGTTGGCCCGTACACCTTCCCCCACTCCGCAGCCGACATCTCCTCAGCGTTCACCATCTCCTCTTCTTAGCGGACATCCTGTAACGATTTCCAAGGCGACGCAATCTTTCCCATCCAAAATACACTCCCCTCCCACCATTGTACGCCATATTGCCTGCCCTAAAAATGCAGAGCCGCCTCGCTCGCCCCTCCTGAAGCGTGTCCAGTCTGAGGAGAAGCTGTCCCCGTCATACACTGGGGAGAAGAAACACCATTGTACCAGAAAACACAGCTTGGAGGTCACCCAGGAGGAGGTGCAGGATGAGGAGCTGACAGCTTCTGAGAGAGATTACACTTTCCTGCAGAGTGTGGAGGAAACGGCTAGTGAGCCGCTGCCCATCAATCGCCTTCGGCCCGTTGAGCAGGGCTGCTTAAAGAGGCCCGTCAACCGAAAGGTAGGACGGCAGGAGTCTGTGGAGGAGCTCGACAAAGAAAAACTGAAATTCAAGATGGTGGTTAAGAGGCAGGACTGGTCAGAGAGAAGGGAGTCTCTGCAGAAACAAGATGCTCTGCTGGAATCTGACCCACTGCCCCCATGTGGCGATGAGAGGGATGAAGGTTTCCTTTTCCCAATCCAGAATAAAGCCCAGAAAAGCCCAGAGTCCGGTCTGGAGATCAAAGCTGCTAGCGCAACGCTTAAAGATGTTCTGTACAAAAAGCTGTCCACACGAGTCTCTGAGGGCTTCGACGCTCCCGGTGGGAGCTGTGAGAGCGAAGGAAGCACCCGGTCGACTCCCTGCACACCTCACCCTGAGCGGCAGCATCCTCGGCAGGGGAAAGACGCCGTCAAGCCCGACAGACTGGACTTTAAGGCTCCAAACATTGAGTTCACCAGGAAAAGGCTGTCGTTTGAAGACAGAGAAGACTGCATGTGTCGGCTGTCCTCCGGCCTCCACGAGAACCTCCATTTTGGCTCCATGAGATCCAAGAGCCTCCAGCTGGATACTGTCATGTCTCATGACCACATGAAGGGCAGCAGTCACTCAAACGCTGAATGTCTGGCCCCGAAACTTTTCTCCGGGAGGGAGGGGAGCGCTGTGGAGAAACTCCAGCTCATTTCCTCTGCCGAGTCCCCACTGAGGAAGACTTCATCCGAGTACAAACTGGAGGGGCGACACGTCTCCTCCCTTAAACCTCTAGAGGGGACTCTGGACATTGCTCTCCTTTCAGGACCCAGGGTTTCAAAAACTGAGAGCTGTCTCTCCAAGATGACAGACCACACAAGCGACACCCTTCCTGTGAGTCCATCGGTACGGATTAAGAGTCCAACTGAGAGACAGATCACCATCCCTCAAGTGAAAGCAGATAAAATGAAAACCTCCCAGCCCTGTTCACCGAGCAGTGAAGCTGCTTCTCCTGTAACCAGTGACGTCGTCTCTAAAGATCAGCCAAATACCGCAGCAGATGACTTTAAAAGCAGCGAGAAGACACAGGACAGAGCCAGAGACTCATTAAAGGCTTCAGGGGCCAAACAGGAAAGCCGTGCTAGTGTTAAAGCCTCTTCCTCTCTAGCTCATGACCACAGAGGCCCCCGACACACCCCCCACTTCACCTCCAGCGGGAAAACCCCCTCTATACGGGAAGTGAGCAACGAAGATCAGGAGGATGAAGCGGAGCAAGAGGGATTCCCACCAAACACTACACCACGAAATAAAAACGGGTCAGAAACCGTGGCAACAAAGCAGGATCTAAACTCCAAACCCCCCCACCGTGTAGAGATGGATCATATTCCAACACCGCAGCAGCAGAGCACAGACAGTGGTTTGGATGCAGACCAGCAGCAGAGAGCTGAGAAAACAAAATCTGCTGTAACCTCTGTGCCTGAAGAGCCTGAACAAGAGAACGTGCTTTCTAAACTGAAACCAGTCAACATCTGCTCCTCCGACGCACAGACAAGAGCTTCTGTGACAACACCAGCATCATCTTCCAAGCGGGATAATAAATCCAGCTGTTCAAATTCTCAAGTTGTCTGCAAAGCATCTGATGGAGATGCTGTGCTGTCAAAGAGAAAAACTGACAGAGCAGACGCTGAAATCAGTCCCTTCTCCTCCAAAGCGGAGCATAGCACAGACGCCTGTGCAATAAATTCAGACACTTCCTTAGTTTCTGCAACACAGGAGACAATAGATGTGAACAAAAAAGTTACTGGTGATTCTCAGAAGAAAGAAGTTCCTCTAGTTTCATCCAAGAACTCTGTGAGTTTGAAAGATTTGGGTCAGCCTCCGAAACACTGTCCTGCTGAAAAAGCGGAGCATAAACCATCAGATTCAGAGTTTAAGAAGGGAGTAAAGGAAAACACGGTGGTCCAGTCTGCAAAAATCAAAGTTTCAGCTCCAAATGAAAAGCTTTCGAGCCCTAAAGGTAAATCTAGACCCGAACCTCAACCTGCAGGTCCTGCTTCTGTGAAAGATTTGGTTCCAGCTGAGGTAAAGTCTCATAGCACAACTGCCCCAGTCCCGGTGATCAAAGGAAGTCCAAGCTCAAAACATCCTAAAGAATCTGCAGCCACTGTGACAAGCATTCAAGCAACCAAGGATACTAAACATGGAGATCTTTGCCTGTCCATCGGCTTCAGCACAAAGCAAGAAGAACCAGCTCAGCCGTCACAGTCACCCAAACAAAAGGCCACTCAGCCCAACAGCTCTGGTACCATAAAACACAACACAGACTCCAAGCAAAAACCAATCCCCCCTAAAGCCACGCAGTCTGCTCCGCACATCAAGCAAAATCAAGATACGAAACCAAAAGAACGCTCACCCAAAAACCAAGCTCATCCTGAATCGAAACCAAAAGATGTAATCTGGCCTTCCCCTTCATCTCAGCTTCAGCAGCTCAGAAAGGAGCAGCCATCAGAGGGTGGGGCTTCTCCCAGTCCTCCACCTGTGCTGCCAAAGCCTGCCGTGAAAAAGGACGTGTTCGTGCTGAACCATGGGGAAACCTTGCATGAGGTCGGAAGCGAGCCCATCATCAAAGCATCTATGGATTCGCAAAAACAGGACAATTATAAACCCCCGGATGCACAAAACGCAACAAACGACAAGCAGCCCGTATCCACCCGGAGGGAGACGGCAGACAAGAAGAAAAAAGACTCTGTTCAGGAAGTCGCTTCTGCACAGAAAACTACAAAACGAGACACTTCGCGGGCCTCTCCCTCTGTGCCAAAAGACTCTTCAGATAAGGACAGTAGCAGGTGCAAACAGCAGAAGGAGTCACCTCGTAACTCCGGCAACAAGAAGTAAACACAATTAAATAGTTTCTCTAAGCATCGTCATGCCTTCTTCTTTTGGGCTTTATTCAAGGACCGGCTAAGCTGTTACATGCCGATATAGGTGTTAGCATCTCTTTATTTGCTGATGACATTGGTGTTTTTTTTTCTCTTCAGGTAAAGTGAATGTTTGAGGGTTTGTTTCTTTGTTTCCTCACCAAAGGCTTTGTGCAATCAGTATGTGAGAGGCTGAAATGTGATGAAGAGATAGTGCCATAAAAGATTTTCAATTGCACTTTTACTAGTGGCCTCGGAGAACATGATGCCAAGGCCTTTTAATGCAGTAGACCACGTGATTTTAATAAGCAGTTCAGCTAATTTCCTATTAGTTTTTCCCTTCCTGTTATGATCCGTTCGATTCATGATTGTCCATCAGGTGGTACACAGAGGGAATACACCACGTTATGTTCACATAAAAGTGCAGAATCATGTTCCGGTTCTAAGTGAAGGGGCCTTCGACATAAGGGGAATGAAACCTCTTGCTCTTCTTAGCAAGGAGTTGTTTGTTCACATTCCTTTGACATCTGTACATATAGTTCTGATTTTTATGCAATATGGTGTAAATAGGGTATTGTAAAGCAGGGAAAACATGGGCTTACATGATTGTTTGTATTATATGTAAAGATTTTGCTGTGTCATGTTTGTATGCTCGATATAAAGACGTTCTGCTCTGTGGTCTAAAGTCTAATCAAAGGTTTTCTCTTCACTGACATCTACCATGTTTTCACATGTTTCGAAACTGACTTGAAGAGTTCAAAAGCTTCAGAAGCTAACTGGGCTATTTCTTAAGATGTAGCATTATAAATAAATCTATATAGAAAATAAAAATAAAAAACTGTGAGGGCTATCAGCGTTTCTCAAGAATGTCTCTATTGTGCGTTGGCGTTTTTTTTTTAAGAAAGCTCATCGATTGTTTTTTGCTGGAGGAAATAAACAAGCGCTTCTGCACATGTGCAGGTGGTTCAGAAAACAAACATCCTCTTTGGGTTGTCTAGTTGGGGGATTTATGCTGAGTCACACAAGGAATGTGCCATTTTAAAAGGGTTGGTGTTGAAGTGTTTCACTGTGCCGTTTTCATTCAACGCTAAGCTTCACTCGAGTGCTTGCGTAGTTTATTCCATCTTGCAAATACTCTATACCACTTTATACAGGCTGTCATGTATCCCTGTTCCCTCTTATTATTGATGCCTTTAAATTACAAACTGTTTGATAAACTGAAATTAATTTACATTATTCTTAGCAGCATATACTGTACTTTATTTTTGAAATCTCATGAATTTACCTTGACAAAAATGATATCTAAATGTTCCACGCTGTTTCCAACAATTATAGGGGTTTTATCGTGAACCAATCAAATGTTTTCCTGCATTAGATATTGTAAAGATATTGTGAGAAACTGCACCTTAATGTTCAAGTCCATAGATTTGGAGGTAAAGTAGATTCAACACTTCATTTTCATTAATTAAACCCCATTTTTTGTGTTCCCATGATGACAGACATTTAAAAGCACATTCAGTGTTTGTTTACAAAGCCTCATGGATGTATATTCTGTATATTGTTAATTTGCCAAATCTGTATTGTGTCTCGGATAATGTCGCTGATGGCCATGTGAGACCTTTGCTCTCCTGCCAGCAGGATGTTCGTTTGTGCGGTAATCAATGTTCTTTCATGTCGAGTTCTTCACGTCTGCTTGTCTCTTCAGGTCCCTTAGTTTCTGTGTGCAACACTGGTATTAGGTGAACTTGCTCTCTTTGGTTTGTCTTTTAGAAAAATGTGCAATAAAAGTGTTTTGAGTTTTTGTATTTTGCCCAAGAAAAGCTCTATGGATGTCATAGATGTTGTATATTAACAGATATTTATACTTCTAATGTTGCGTAATACTGAAAATAAAATGAGATTCTAAATGACCGTATTTGTGTCCTCACTTTCCTTCAGGTCAGAAAAAAAACACTTAATATCTTGAGTTGGAAATGTATGACAGAGTATTAGGGCCAGGCTAGAGATTTCTTTTTTTTTTCTATCTCGAGAATAAAGTCGTAATATTACGAGAAAAAAGTCACAACAAGAATAGTCATAAAATTATGAGAATAAAGTGGTGATATTAAGAGAAAGTCCTAAAATTACAGGAAACAAGTTGTATTTTATGACAGCTCCTACAAGAAGCACTTTCTTCCCTAAAATGAGGAATGTTGAGCATCATGTGAAGTTATACTTTGACTCTGGTTTGACAAATAAGGAAATCTTTTACCACCAGCATCAAACTGGGCAGTAGGTCAAAGTGGACTCGGGTTGCTGTTTTGGTGGAGCTGGTCGGCCGTCATCTGCTGGTTGGAGCTCCAAGCTTCCTTTCTGAAACGGGTTGTTGTATGATGACTTCATTTTCGTAATATTACGACTTTATTCTAGTAGTGTTACGACTTTATTCTCAAAGTAAAAAAATCTCCCTAATACCCTTTCGTAGGAAACAAGTCAAAGCTATGCAATGAAGTTATTTTTAACCGCTGTGTTTTATTGTTGCCCAAAACAGATCAACTACAATGCAAAAGCTGATCAAGAAATAACTTTTATATTAGATTGTGGAGTATTTATGTATATTTTTTTAAAAGACCTGCTCTCTCCACGTGTGAGAGCGTGCATGAGCCCATTTCTCCTCGTGCACGCTCTGTTTAGAAGTTGCTGTTCTCGCTTAGCTCTTACAGGCTTAATGTCTCACTATATAAAGCAGGGACTATATTGTACTTTATCGCAAACTCAGTTAACCTACTGTCGCACAGATGATCACTGCTTTTGCTTCCTGTTGGTCAAGTAACTTCCCTTTCACTTCATGATGCCTGCTCCATCTTTGTTATTAATGGCACCAAATCACATAATGCTTTGTGAGGAGAGCTGCAAAGCATTCTGGGATATAGCTGCCTCTTCTGAGGCCTTTCTTTTCTTCTCATACACTTCATAGACACTTTTTCTCCTACCGCGGTGAGAAAGGTGAGCTTCAATGACTGTCTGAAACCGTAGCTCACCAAAGATACACGCCTGAAAGTGAGCATGCGCAGAAAAAGATGGCTAACACGGTGGGCAGTTAGGGCGGGCTTACACAAACATCACCAGAATGATTGACAATTGGGAGGACCACTTATTTTGATGATCCACTCGGAAATAAAAGATCGCCCTCTATACCTTTAACTGTTCCTAATTAAAGAGAATATGCTGTGGAGCTTTTCCCCTTGGTGGCTCTGTTGTTTTGCTTCCAGGTCACGGGTGGAAACACCAATTTGTTAAATGAGGAAGTTGTGTCCCCTTGAAGGCAGTTGCGCCTCGGGACTTCCCTTCTGGTTCTTTTCCTGGGAGCAACTTATTTACTACTCTTAACTCAAACTGGGTAAAACCATATAAAAAAGGACTACAAAAAACAGGAGTGAAAAATGAACAGAGTTTATTCCAGATCAGGTTGTTACAGGACAGAGAAAATGCTTGGAGCTTGCACAGCTGTGGGCTCATAAAAACCTCCGCGAGCGTGTGAAGGAAGGCCTTCTACTCTCTCTACTCTCTCTCTGGCTAACAAAGTAACAATGCACATGATGTATAAAAGAATAAACCTAACACCTTTAAGCATTTAAAGAAGATCGGCGGGCCAGTGGAATGAATATTTGAGATACTGGGTTTATTTGTTTTTTCTTTAAATATAAATCAACGTATTCCATTTTTACTCTCTTATCTGCTCAAAACAAGACAAAAAAAAACACCTATTCCAAGAAAAATCTAATTTGATTTTAGATTTTTGCAGTGCAAGTATTTTACCCCAGTTAAGGGGAAGTTTATTTCTCTCATATAAATGACAAGTTTTATTAAAACCTCATACTTCCGATACATTTCTTCAGTAATTGCTAAAATTACCTTCAACTGAATTAATTTGCCACCCTTCCTAGGATCTTTTCTGCACTGATTAAAAAAAATAATAATAACTGTAATTGTAGCTGACATTTCCTTAATATTTCTACATAATATTCTTCCCTCATCAGGTGATCTGTGTTGTAAATCCCCAAGTCCCCCCTTACTTTATAGTTGGAATGTTAGAAGGTTATGCTGATGAAGGTTCTCAGTCATTCAGGTCATAGTCATTCCGTAAAAATTCAAAAAATATCCACTGGACTTGGTTTTCTTGAAAACCAAGTCCAGTGGATATTTTTTAGATATAAGTTAGAAGGTTATCTTTCTGTCATAATGACTTCCTCGTTGCAGAGTGGCCTTTAATGCCCATTTTGATACAGGACTGTTTTCATTGTAAATAACATCACTTTTATCAGCTTAAACTACAGTCTTCTCCAAATCTTTTAGCTTTTCTAGGATTTGATTAGCCCATTATACACTTAAACCAGTCCATTTCCTTCCTCAGTCGCATGACTTCACATCCTATGATTTGTATTTGTTGAATAATTTGGCACCTTTAGGTATTTGCAAATATGTCTGCAATATATCAACTTTTTTCCAAACATGTTTGACCAATTTTCGTAAGTTACATCCATGGATGTGCTTTCAATACATTTTCTGAAGCAATGATATGATTAGGATTTTTTGCAAGTATATAATTTCCTAAAATAAATTTTAAAAATCACTATACTGAATTCCTGACAAAAAAAAAAATAAAATTTATATTTGTGTTATGTGAGTAGAAATAGACCTGCTGTCATTTTGAGTGTAGAAATTATAATTCCAGAAATAAAGTTAAACAGTAAAAAATATCTCCTATATCCCATCTGGTTAAAAAGTTAAGAAGCGTGAGTTTTAATCATTTCTTATAATTACGTTAAACACCTTCACAATAAATCTGCCTTGCTTAAATAATTCTCCATCAAACCATGGTGCAGTACCAGTAGGGGGCAGTATATAGCTACTCCTGTGCAAAGGGGCTTTTTCCCCCCCTCAAAGTAGGCCTCTTGTTATGCAACATGTGCAGTGGAACTGCAGGAAATAAAATGTAGTCTGAAAATGCAGCATGTTTCTACCAACTTGTTTTACTGATGTCTTAAAATATGATTTGTGTAACTTATTTATAACCAAAATAAGAAAACAAATGTAGTTTGTTACCATTACCATGTGTGTGCTGAAGCACAGAAACATGAGACTTCCCTCTCAAAGCCGTCTGTGTTCCTCAGCAATGTTCTGTTTTGATCATTGCTGCAGGCGTCTGTCTTCAGAGGAGAGTCAGTAAATCAACGTTAGCACTGTTCATTAATCAGCATGTGCCAATGCAGCAAGCACTCCCCAAGCATCTTCCCAGCTTCTCCTGACTCTCAAAGATTAAATATTGTAGATCCTCATCAGCCAGATGTCTTCTTCAAGCTGCCGTCTTTTAATCTTTGGAATCTACAAAAGGAGCAGCGGATCTGTCGTGTTTCATTTCTCACTCTCTTCGTTAGTCTTAGTAACCCTCCCTACCACTATAGAGGAATTGAATAATACATTATTTAAAAGATGGTGGGCCTCGTGAAATGGATCCTCTTAAGTCTGGAGCAGAGAGTGAAAGGTTGCCTGGTTCTCGATCCACTTTTCACAAACGGATCGATACGGATGATGTAACCTCACCATGTGCATTGTTATCGATGAGGTGGGGACTTAAACGATGGGAACAGAGGGTACACATGTCTGTTTACACAGACAGACATCAGGCGCCTCAGAAAGGATAAGGTGGCAGAGATACACAGTGGTTAAAAAGTAGTCTGCATCTTCTTTTTGTAAACACAGCGACATGTACATCCTACAATGGTAATGATGTTTTTTCCTAACATAAGACGGAATCCTTTTTTGCATATGGTTGAAATTATGCAGAAGACATTGGAGAGGAAAGTAGTTTTTGCTGCATAGATCATCAGTTTTGCATCATGCATTTTTCCTCCTTTTTTGCAAAAACTCTCAATCTGAGTTGGATTGATTTATATGAACACTCCATTGTTTCTTAAAGGTATTCTTCCACATTTGGCTTGTTTTTAGCTCCAAAATTCTTCACACCAACTATGAATTATCCCTGCTCATGTGGGGAAAGTTTTCTCATTTCATGATGCTGCTGCCACCCCCATGTGTCTAGGTGGATGCTCTGTGTGTGGGATGTGCAGTTCTTAGCACAGGTCATTTATCGTTCACCAAGTTTGTCCTACATGGTTTTTACCAAACACGAAAAGGAACTTTCCATTTACGTTTCTTTGCTGGAGGATCTCTGCAGCTCCTCCAAAGTTCCCACAGCCAACTTTGCTGCTTTTCTAACCAATGTTTGTTAAATCTAAGGTCAAAAGTTTGGATTTTAATATGTAACTGTGTCCTTTTGCCACAGAGGTATTACTTTTTAGCTGTAAAGCCAACATGGAAACTAGAATGGAAAAAAGTAAGCTTGTCTGTTCCCCACCTACTATTTATTTACACATAGTTATCTGTTTAGAGAGCTGAGCTCTGATCAAACCATTAACCACATCAGATTCTTAGCCCACCCACCCCTTTCACTCATGCTTTTAGGAAACTTCTCTGACGTTAGTTTTTTTTTTACCCAGCTGACCCGTCCGATGTACCTGCAAACACATCTAAGAGCAGTTATTTTATCAGTCAGCTTACAACTAAAAAAAAGCGGCACGTTTTTAGAAAAGCATAATATTGTTATGACGTACCTTGTGCTAATTGTGTGCTTTGGTTACAAACATAGAACAATAAAAAAAATTTAAATAACTGCATGAAAAGGCTGGAAAGCATCATTAGATTCTCTCACATCACGGAAAGCATTTTAACCTTGTTGGAATTATCTCACTCTGATTCCGTTCTGTTGTCATCGGAAACAAAGCAGAGATAATGGAGCTTTATAAAAATTTCATGTCACTGCTTGACGTGTTGTTTTTTCCTCAGTGCTGATTGGTTGAGCAGATGAGAGC